TGATCCGTTTGCTCGTTTGCCTTTTTCCCCTAAAAAATCTGCTGTCAAGTATTTCTGTTTTGTAAACGAAAAATAGGTTCTTGTTAACAAAAAGAAAATGCTGCTCCACGGTATTTAGTTTAAGTTGAATGCTCCGCTCCCCTCTAACTGAAGTGGGCGAAGTGGTATATTAAAGAACTCGTTAGGGAATATTCTTAGACCAAAGAGGAAAAGGAAATCGTGTTTCAATACAACTAGAGGGGTGAAAGTCAAATGATTATCAATGCAGGAAGATCTGTGCTTCATACATTAAACAAATCGGTTTGAGAAGACTTAACGAATTCATAAAAAAAGATTTGTTTAACCCAGTGTTTGCGCCAGAAGAAGGTTTATTTGTTTCGAGTGTGTGTTATGTAAGTATGTATATATCTTTGGCACCCTCTGTAGTCTAAACGGCTTGACCGATTTTGACGTTTGGAGTATCTTTAGGTACGTTTTCTTTGTGAAGTGACAGTGATATTAAAACTATAAGAATAAAAATAGCCAGTATGTAAATTTTAAATATATATATACGTCTTTTTTTTTTATAATTAACTGCATCGATAAATTTTTAAAATCTGAATGTCATCAGTTGTTTAGTTTTGTTTTTATAATTACTGCATGAACCTAACCAGGCCCTTACCTACTCGTATTATAACTCTTGCATCCTCTATTATTAACCTGTGATTTTACGTGAGTAGGAATCTCTTGTGATAAATCATATGATTTTGAAATCATATATCAGTCCTGTGACTGATTTACAAAAACACTCAAAACAAAAACAAAAAAAGGTAAACTTTGATTAAAAGATTTTTGATTGATTTTAATGTAATTTTTCTTTATCTATTACGAAATAACAATCATATATGAAATCACTGTGACTAAAACCAATTATTTCATCAAAATCAAAAATTTCATAAAATGAATTATAGCAAAAAAATTCCATGTCTGAACGTGAGACCTTATGAGCTTTGAATTATTCGTAATTTCCTGTCTAGTCAGTACGGATATTGAAAGAGGGAATCGGTAGAACCAAAATGGCGAATTAGTATGGTAGATCTGACAGTTTAGGGTTCTATTTAAAAAATTAGCAAGCCTAACAGATGACGTGTGTTAATATTTGTGTAGTCAGAACTCATGGTGATCTTCAATTAGAAATTGTTAACCTCAAATTAAGGTAGGACGGCGCCGGGCGGATAGATTCCGCATAATATAGCAACCAATTATTTCTTGTACAAATATAATTACATTAAATACTTAAAAAAAACTAATTAACCGACTTCAAACAATACTAACAACAAAGAGCACTAAAAACCTAGCAGTAATAGCGGTTGTCCGGCTCCGCAACTCACTATCAGATCTATATGTTATTTCAATGGGACCATTTCGAAGTAAAGTTCTTTCGAACAAATAAACAATTTTGAAAATCCGGCTATATCCGGCGAGCGGACATAACTCCGTTATATATAGACGGAGAAATACATAAAAGAAGTTTATAAACATCCGAATTGGTAATTAAGTATTTATATATTTTGTGTTCGATTATCACATTTAAGAACTTAATTACTTACTTTCAACATGAGTAAGTAACATGTTTTATCTTTACTAATATTAAAAAGCTGATAAGTTTGTTTGTTTTTTTAAACGTGGTAATCTCAGGTAAAACTAGTTCGAATTGAAAAATTCTTAAAGTTTTGGACAGCCCATTTATCGAGGAAGGCCGAGCATTAATGAAAAAATCTTGCATAAACGTAAATTAAGAATTAAATAACAATAAAATAAATAGCGTTCTGTCCCGAATCCATCTAATAAAATAGGTATGTCTCCATTGTATTTCAGTATAAAGAGAATACGTTTCCCCTTCTACAAATTCATTCACCCATATTCATATACTGGTGCCATTATGCCACGAGTAAAGCTCAACTATAGAAAAATACAAAATATAATTTCCGTAGACATTAATAGGGCAGGAGGGTACCTTCCGTAACCTGTGAAAGCGCGGGAAAATATGCTCAGTAATGGCCGCGGTATTATCGTCAATCGTGTACTCGGGGGAGGCTGAATGATCTCTTACCAGTGCCTCATTATCCTTTTAATGAAAGTTTGTTCTCGGTCGGAATTTTAAATTGGTTTTTTTCCTATATTGTTAGATATTTTTTTGTTTTTTATATGGAAATTCTTTGTACATATATTCTTTTTTTTTTGTATTGTTTCGAATGCCTTTTGTTTTTAAAATTCTGAGGTTTTATGTTGTTAATGTAAACCAGAAAGTCCAAGGATAGAGCCTTGTAGGGTCCTCTCATTAATAGGTTTTAGTCTTAACCGTGTTGTGATCATTATCAGTCTAGTTCATATCATTTTAATCAAAAGAAACGACCGTTTCATGCAGCTTTAAATAATTTAGATCCTAATCAAGGATCTATATAAATTTATGATAGACTGTATCGAACGCCTCCTTGAAATCGATAAACAAGACTAACTATTTGTTTTTTTTCGTTATGTCGATATAAACTGACAAATTGTTTGATTTATGACAAACTTGTATTGACTTTTATGAATAAAAGTCACATTTGCATTGGTTGATTGGTTTCTCTTCGGCCTTTGATAGTTTTAGGTCGCTCGAGTTGTTCTTCGGCTTTTATGAAATATCATCTCTATATTTATGTATTTTGATTACTGTTACTGTCCGGACAGTTAAAATAAAAGTTCTTCGAAATGTATACTTATAGTATTTATCAGAATAATATCAGATCATCATCATCATCATCATCAACAGCCTATAACAGTCCACTGCTGGACATAGGCCTCTCCTTAGAAAGGAGGTTTTGGCCTACTATACCACGCTGGCCAGACGGGTTGGTATAGGGTTTGTTTCAAGTTTTCCTTCTCTTTGCAGTGCTGTTGTCCTGCATAGTTTGTTCCCTTAGTCGACTCTTACGACACCCACGGGATGAATAGGGGTGGTGACATTCCATATTCTTAATCCTTCACCACACACACACACAATATCAGATCCTAGAGAGAATTTACGGGACGAGAGTCTACGTGGAAGGTCGTCGGGTCACTGCCCCTACCAATTATTAAGTTTATATAACGAGTTTCTCATTGCAAGTTTGGGCCTTTTCTTGCAACAGATGAGGAGCCTGTTGATGGACTCTTGACTGGAGACTCTCTGTGTTCCCTATTAAAGATATGCCTATTATGCCTATTATGGTTTTTATGAAAAGGATTCTAAAGAAGATTCTATAACACCTGGTCTGCCTGGTCCAAGCGTGATCCTTGGCCTAGCGATAGCTCTGGCCCTTGGCCACATCTCCAACCGCCTAAACGAGATGTCCGTGTCTGTCACTGCTACGCCTTAGATTTAATTTATTTTTCATTACGTTCATATTAGATACTGTCAATATCATAAACAGAAAACTTTGTTTTTGTCACTCCGTTCATGAATTCAGAAACTACTGAACTAAATAATGATCTAAATAATGATGTAAATATATACTAAAAAAACGGCGTCAGGGATCTATGGAACCCGGGTCGGAACGAAGTTTCTTTCGCTTTTTGGCAGACGTTTGCTATAGTGAAAGAAAAAAGAAAAAAGTCTTGTTACACATTTTTCGGACTCCCTCCCATTCGCTCAGAGGATCTTCGTTGCAATAATAAAGCATGTTAGAAAAGGTATTGTCTTAAATTAACAAAATGCTTGACGATTTCAACTCCTTTATAAATACCGTCTATTATACGTAGAAATAAAATGCTGCACATGAGAATTTCTCCGCATTTCCCCCAGGTGCCTCGTATAAGTCTAAAACAAACAGTCACCCCTTGTTTTGTTTTTTCAAAGGTGTTAAATGACGCGTATCAACTAAAGACAGAACAAACTAGAGCGGGAAGTAATTACTCAATTTTGAGTACCATAGAGCACTTCTTTTCTGCTTTGAACCTTTTTTGATTGTTGGTGAAGAAGGATTTTATGCAGAGTTTGAAAGCAGTGACAGTATGTCTATTTAAGTAACTTAGTTATGTAGAGGGTACAACGGTCTTTACAAATGGATATTGTAAAAATGTTTGTAGTTACTATTTAATTATTAGCGCACGTAACTGCCAATGTTTTTTACAAGTTAAAAATATATTTGAAAAAAATTGATGATCTATTGTAACGATACATTCTATTAGGGATATCTTTTCATAAAATGATGTCAATTCCCGATCCTGTACGCTTAGATCATTCAAACTACGCAACGGATTTTAATGCGGTTTTCATTAATAGAGAGAGTGATTCAAGAGGAAAGTTTATATTTATGAATAATACATGCATATTACAGTAGAGAAAATCCGAGAATTTCAAAGATTTTTGCACCTGTGCGAAGCCGGAACAGGTCGCTAGTTATAGATTTTTGTCAACATTAGGAACTTTTTTTTGTTATAAGAGACAACTCCCGCATTTGGAATATATTTCTGTGTCGCGGGGGACTTTACAAACATACATGAAATGGACGCAAAGAACACCCAGAGCCAGAACAACAATTTGTGGATCACACAAAGTAGCCCCCATAAGGGGATCGGACCCACAACACAGCGTAGTAGTAAGCGGCGTGGCGACCGCTTAAACCACTACTCCATCCGTGCAGGAACTGAGATTGAAACTTTGACAACAATTCGATCCCAGCCTATCTAAACCGACAATTAAATTAAGTCTTGCATTGAAAGAATGTGTTTATTATTCTCTGACAATTAAAAGCTATATAAAACTACCCCAGATTCTGATCAACTGAAAATGATTTTAATAGGTACAAGAAAAAGTTTTGTCTATCACTTTCAGCCTTATGATTTTGGAGTTGTTATTACTCTAAATTATTTTGTAATGAGAATGTCATGTCACATCATAAAAGGTCAAAATTTATATTACATATTAATCGTAATTGTATCGTAACTTTGTCTTCACTGTCCGCAGGTGATGTTCGGTATGCCGCGTTCTGCGTGAAATGGACGGCATACAGATGGAGCCTGTTGGCAAATACAAGCCGGATAGGAACGGTTCTGCTAAGGGTAAGTGCGTTACGACACCACCTACTTACATACGGCAAACTAAATAACAGGATAGAAGGCTAATTCTCGTAATAAAAGTTCGATCACAATTCAGTTCCGATAAACTCTCGAACTGTCATAAAATGTATTTTCGTAGTAGTAACTTTTTTGAAGCGTTTACATTTTTATATAAATAGATAATATAATATAATACTATTGCATGTAGAATGAGTTCTTGTACTGGATAATGATATATTTATTGTTATAGCAGCTGCCTGGCGTAATATGGTGGATCAAGATTTAGATGATGTAGCGTTTCTGGCTGGTGAGTTCTTAGATTATTAGTTTTTTATAGTAAAAGGAACAATTGAGCAGACGGTTAGTGCTGATCCGCTCATGGATAACTTGAACTCAAGAGTTAATCGTGGGTCGCTGGGCTTTGAGTGATGAAACCAGAATAGATCTGTTCCTCCGATAACCTCCTTCACTCGGCGAAACGCAAGGAAAGAATTTTCTGCAGCAGTTTTCTGTGAGACCGTTTTATTACTTCCGTATATGCCGAAGCATGGCTTTCTTGCGGTTAGTTTAGAAATGTAAATGATCCGAGTGGTTGAATTGATGATGATGATCCGACTGGTTTCAGCTATGGCGACTGCATTCCGTAACTAATATCGTCGTTCGTGTGCTCTCATGTGGCTTATTTAGACGATCTTATTTGTGAAAATATAGTTTTTTTTTGTGAAGGTATAATTACCATAATGGTATGCATACTGGTACCTGATCGCCAGAGGTAGTCGGGCATTTAGTTCGTCGTCATGCTATATTTACTCACATGGTGCTATAATTATCAATAATGTTATGTTATGTGTAACAACATGTTGTGTGTAATGTATGTTATGTCATTAGTTACAAGGAACATAATCTTAAATTATTAAATAAAAAAATTGCACATCATATATGCAAACAGAACTCTGTACCAGATTAAGAAATGGTTTCAACCAAATCAAACGAAAGCGTTCCCCAAGGAGCTCCAATTGCACTGGTCTTGGGCAGTCCACATCCCGCAAGAAATGAATTAGATGACGAGAAAACGTAGATGTCTTTGGTCTAAATATTTACACTCATATTTAGTTTTGTAGTAAGAGTTTGAATTTAAATCAAAGATTAGTATTATTGACAGCTATTATTTACAGATTACGAATTACGAAAATTTGAAATTCTCCAAAATATTCAAATTCTTGAAACATCCTAAGTCTATGCTTAGTAGAATCAAACTGACAGTTCATTCTCGCACTAATCTACAGACTCGGATAAAGCGCGCGAAATTCGCGAGCTTCGAGAGACACCCGTTGCAGTATGTTCTCAACGGCGTGCCTTATGTCTTGCCGCACTTGTCTTCTCTGCAATGTTTGCTACAGCACTGATAGTAGTATATGCAGCACCTAACTCAGGTAAGAGAGAGCTGACCTTTGAATACTTCTGGTATAACAGTAATTAATTAATCCTTGTTGCACAATTTTTTGGGTGACACAGGGACGTATTCTAGGTCCTTTAAATTTGCGTGATTTCAACCTTCATTGTCCGTTATACGAAAGAATTTGTGCCATGTAGTTTATGTTCTACATTTCGATTTTACTAAAACTTCCTTGTAAGAACCGCACATTATGAGTGTTAATAATTTCCTGATCTAATATTAAAACTATTCTATTTACTTTAACTTAAGTTATTTATACCTGTTTAAAATACTTATAAGAAAATGAAGAAGATATTATGCTTATGAGTTATATTCCTGTGTATAAACTGTAGACTGACAATATAACAGTATTTCAAGGATCTATATGAAGCTCGTTATTTGAATAACAATGTAAATGGAGAATAATTATTTAAATTATGTTACCATTTTATAGATTGTCCATGTGCAGGAGAAGCTACACTCATTCCCGGACAGCCCCCTACTGATTCCGAATCGAACGTTGCTGCTACTAACAAGTTAGTTTAAATTTATTTAAACAAGCTTGTATCAATATATATGTCCTCTATGTTCCAATTTACTTTATTTCTTACTGCCAGCGTGGTTTTAGCACCAGTAGAAACACTCATATGGCATAAATGCAACAATTCGAATGGTAAATTTGTTTTTGACCCGTTAGAGGCTTAAAAATTAGGGACACTGGGTCTAAGATCTCTTTCATTATTAGTAAGAAAGGCGACCATAAGGATGTTATTTTTCTTGCACAGCAAATTAGCATTGCTATTCATCGTGACATATTTTACAATACTTTTTTTTTGGATCGCCGACAAAGGACACACATTTCTACGATATTTAAAAAATATACAAAAACATGCCTTGTGATCATTCAGTTATAGGCAAACACAGCTAACATAAGTAAAACTTGTACCATTCTAAAATAAAAAAATGAAGGCATAATAATAGAAAAATGTAAAAGAAACTTAAACCATTAGGTTAAAAAAAAAGAAATTAATAAAAAAATAATACCACGAACTATTCAAACCCAAACTCAGGTGAACTTTTGCTGACCCAAGTTTAGACTCAAGATAGTCCGAGATTTTTTCCTTAAAATTAGCCGAACTATCTCCAGTAATGTCCAAATCCAACAAACGAGAAAGTTCGTTTTAAGACTCTGCCGTTCCGGTTAATGGCGAGTTTAGCCCTAGACTTATATATCTACGTAAGCTGAACAGCCTGTCGACACTTGAGCGTGGCAACTAACCGGGGGGCTAAGAAATGGATTCTTACCATTCAGGCCAATCTAATATTGTATAAGAATGAAAGGTCAAGAAGTTTGCGTCTATTATTAAGTGGCGGTTGTATAGTGAAGGCGGCGATTCCATAGTTAAAATTGCATGAGAGTTGAGAGATAAATTTTAGGGACGCCATGTTGAAAAATTAACTTAGAAAGAAGGAAAGAGAAAGCGCCGAAAAAAGCGTGTAGGTTGCTTATTTATTTCTGTATTGCTAAGTAGTTAAAGTGTTTTTGCCACAAATGTTTAATCTATCTAAAAGTACTTAATTTTATGTTTCAATATTAATAATAATAATGAATTGTTAAAGGGAAAGGATAGCGAGTAATGGTGCAGTGTTCCCATGGCGGGGGGCTCGTCTGCCAACCTTCGTTATACCAAAACATTACAGCTTATGGCTACATCCGAATTTAACAACTGGCGAATTGAGAGGTAAGAATTTGATTTGTTTGATGCCTTATGCGGCTTAATTTTATCATATTTAGTTAAAAGCATTAGGCGCTAATGAAGAACTGAATCGTAACTCTTGACAGGAGTGTTTGAATATGAGCTTTGTAACATAATTTGTTAAAATGAATCTGTATCAAGAAATTCTGTAGGTATCTAATTCATCATCATAGGGAGACAAAACCTCTCCAATAACTTTGTAATATGCTTACAGATGATGGTAATATTTACTGTATACCTCTATGAAGGCTAGCTTTACCCAGCTAATAAAATGTATCCCACAACACCCAGTATCTAAATACCACAAGGAGTACCTAAGCAACGCATATTTCTGAACTTTGCTTCTTTTAATAGGTGAGGTCTCAATAGACTTCAAGGTAGATCGAGACACAACCTTCGTAGTATTAAACGTACGAGATATGAACATAACCGAACGAGCTCTTTTCAAGTCTGGAGGATCCCTTGGACCGAAACTGAACAAAGCTTTGGACTATCCTCAAGCAGATCAGACCTATATAGAATTCAAGGTAATTATAACAATATGATTTATATTAAGACAGGGAAGCAATACAGCTATTCATACTGTAGCTGTTTTAGATTTCATTTTACTTTCCATTTTAATTTTTTTTTATTTCATCACATACACTGTGCACTTACGAAAAGAGTAATCAGATTTTTAAAGGAATTAAGTTTTTAATCAACTATATTGACTCGGTGATTGACGTACAGTTCGGCAAAACAAGTTAAGGAACAAGGATAGATCCCTGTGGCATTCTGTAATGATAATTTAATTTAGAGCATTTACATGTTGCGTTTAATTGCATATTGTTTTAAACGATATATTGGCAGAAAGTAAATTAGAAACTATCTTTGTTGCCAGATACTTAAGTTTTTGTATAATAATTGCATTATGCTTAACGCAATCAAAAGCATCACACAGATTGACCTGAGATTCCAAAGTGCCTACTCGTTCCATTTGATGCTGTATTTAAGTCAATTCCTTCATCACCTGTTAATCATTTACAGGAGAAACTTCGACGTAAATACAACTACACACTCAGTCTCCGGTTCATCACCAAACTCGAGAGAAGTGAAAAGCTTAGAGGTTTCTTCTTAACTGGAACTCATAGACAGTAAGTACTCATAAATACATATAAAAAGTATAAATCCTATGTCAAAATGGACCAAAAAGTAGGAATTTATGGCCAACGTATTCATCAACATCTCCGTGTCTTTCCAATTTTATGTGAAGTGTTAAGTTTCTTTTATGTCTTGTCGCTTCTTATATCGATTCTTATAAATCGAGTTATGGCAAACGGAAAGGTGAGGCAGCTGGGTTAGATATTCTGTAAGTAGGGAACGAACTGAGATTGCAGTAGGTTTGAGAGCACTAGGTCGCGCACGCTTGCGCATTCCGGCCTGGGATTAGAGAGGCCTAATCCTAATGGACATATTAACTTTAAAAGCCATGTTCCTTCACATGAACAGCCTTTACTAGTCCACTGCTGGACATGAGCCTCTCCTTAGAAAGGTCTTGGCCTACTAGATCACGCTGGCCAGAGGGGTTGGTATAGGGTTTGTGTCAAGTTTTCCTTCTCTCTGTTTTTTTTTAGTTTTTTCCCTTAGTCGGCTCTTACGACACCCACGGGATGAATACGGGTGGTGACACTCTGTATTCTTAATCCATCACCACACGGACGTTTCATGTTTCTTATTAATAAGACAATACAATACTAAATCTCCTCTTTTTGAAAGTTTATTCTATATTATTTAATCAGTAGCTGAGCTAAGTATATCTAAATGAAATAAGAAACAAACATCTCCAATAATAATGTCGCTTTAACACTAGAATTAGCACTAATGTATAATCTGTGTTCTCTTGACAGCCGTTGCGCAGTCTCCCGATTCTGGCTGACTCACGCACGTTCTGCGTTCCCTTGTCTGGATGAACCTCATTTCAGAGCCACCTTCAAGATTACTATAGTCAGAGATCGGTAAGATTAACATTTATTACGTAATTAAATATACAATATTTTTGTAATTGAGTACAATATTAAGTTTCTTTGACTATCCCAGGAGGCGGTAGGTTTAAATTTTTCTTAAAATCATTTGTTGACTTTCATTATGTGAGTGTGGTCTCCCCTCCCCTGATTCTGATCCTGCAGACATCCTTTGGCGGTGGTAGTCACTTAAATTCAAGTGAGGTGCGATGGATCTTTTTGTTTAAGACAATAATAATAATATTAAACAAAAAAAAAAATCGCACCGCACTTTTCTTCGACCTTTATTTTGTACAAGTTTATATTAATATCCATACAGCCTAATCAAATTGATGTCATAACTACTAAAGATAATCCTGAAACGCCTTTGTTTTGTTTTGATTGACGTCAAATGTTTGACAGTCAGGTACAAGTGTTTTAATTTACTCTATGGTTTGTATAAGAAAATATTTTTTTTTATATTTTTGTTATTGTTTTTTTATAATTGTTTTTATAGTTTTTATCTTCATGAGAACCTTCTTTGTCACTTAACGAAAATATGAAAAAAAATTAGCCGAATTAATCAAACTGTTCTCGAGTTTTGCGCTTACCAACACATATGGTTCATTTTTCTTTTATAGAAGAACTAAGTAACGTTTCTCGTGACGCAGGCGACGATGTGGGGGAAGTTTTTGATTTGTATCTAAATATATTAATTTTATGTTTCAGATTTCATGTCTCCCTGACAAACATGCCTATAGTGACCACCGAAGAAGCAGGCTTCTATTTAGGCCACAGATTGGTAAGTGTTTCGTAATCCTCAGTTTTCTATAATTATCTGACTGAGTCATGAACCCAGAGCTTAATCCGCTGGGTCTAGGAACTTGAAATTTTGGTAGCTGACGCTTTTTATAATGTAAGCACCCACTAAAAAAAGATTTTTGGAAATTTCATCCCTAAGGAGGTAAAAAAGAAATGGAAGTCGTTTTAAAAGTTGGAAACATGAAATAGGAAAAAATCACGTTAGCAAAGCATTTCTAGTTTATGATAATGTAAATTTTTGTTGCCACCCATTTTATTTACCACAATAATGTCATAAATGCCGCTGTTTTATCCTTTTAGCCTTCCTTCCTCCATTTAGCCTTCCTGGTTTCAGCTCCAAGATGGCTTCGAAGTCACCCCCCCAATGCCGCCTCATATGTTATCTTTAAGCGTCTGTCGTCTTCAACGCCGAGCTGCGCCTGAATTACCCACCGAAGCGACTCCGAACATTACCGAGCAAGTGACGATAACGCCCGAAGCGACCACGGAAATTGCCGAAGATGAGGTTTTACCGCCACCTGAAATAAGTTTGTACAGTGACCAACAAGTGATATTGAACGAGGCTGGGTGAGTTTGATTCTTATACATATTGTTATAAAGTTTAATTTCATTGAATTAATTGTTTGAATTAGCAAGTGAAAAAACGATGGGATCATTTTTAAATCAATATTTCAACAAAATACAAATACTTTTTTCTACTCTCACAGTAATAATCATACTTATAGAACATGTAAAACTACGAAAAAATTAAAAAGAAAACCGAGTGAACCATAGTCGTTTAAGAGATGGAAACATCAGACATCTCACCTATCTGACAGCAGAACCTAGGTCGACGCAAATTCATTGGTCAAATCAAATAGCGCGCGCTCATTGGTCAAATCAAAATGGCTTCTTGCTTTTCAAGGGAACTCTCTCCCAGATTTCAGGAAAGCGGAGGTAGTTTGTTACACATCAAAGATCTCAATTTATATTGGCAATGCGATACTGTCAAACATCCAAACCGCTGACATCATGAGAATGCGACATGCGGTTTCCATTCGCGATTTTTCAGTGACATGATCACTATTTCTCGGCAATATTACCCTCTACAGAGAGTCCCCTTTGAACTACAGGATCAGAAAATTCTTCTACAATGTTTTTACGGTGACGGATTAAGAATACCGAATACAGAGTGTCACCACCCTTATTCATCCCGTAGGTGTCGTAAACTACGCAGGACAATAGCACTGCAAAGAAATTGAAATCTCAACACAAACCCTGTACAAACCCATTTGGCCAGCGTCTTATAGTAGGCCAAAACCTTTGTTCTAAGGAGAGGCCTGTATCTAACAGTGGACTATATAAGGCTGTTGATGATGCGCAAACACTGCACCTATTTCTGAGTTATAATTTTTTCGCAGACCTCTTCTTGAATGGGTGCAGAAGACCATCCAGCATTTTGCCTTTGAACTGAACACGTCATATCCTTTGCCGAAATTCGGTAAGTTCTTAATGATTCATACCTTTAATGATAGCTTATAGCTTATTTATTTAAATCTGAATTATATACATACCTACATTCATTAATTCATATCTGTCTCCATAAGGGTAGATAAAACATAATAAGCGCTTAAGCTCAAAGGTGTCAAGCCTATTGCTGTTAAGAGGCAGGCCTAACCTGCCCTCCTCTGGTCCCGCGGGACTCCCTCCGGACTCAAAATTTGGCAACACAGTTGTGACTCCTGAGTTACAGGTGTTTATGGGCGGCGGTCATCACTTGCCATCAGCTGACCCGGTCACTCGTTTGTCCCCGAGTTGTCATAAGTCTGAAACATCTTAAGAATCTATATGCAGTTTTAATAAATCTACTGATTTTTTTTATAGACATCGTGGTGGTCGAAGGAGGGAACTCTTACTCAGAGGGATGGGGGCTCATCACTCTATCTCCTTCGACGCTGACCGATACCAAAACTATAGCAAGACTTCTGGCGCAACAGGTAACTGTTCATTTTGGGTGTCACGGCTCCGTACCTAAAGGTGCCAATGGAACCTTTAATAATAATAATTGAGCGTCCGTATTGTTTTGTTTTGCAAAGAGAAGGAAAACTTGCAACAAACCCTAAACCAATCCAGCTAATGTGGTATAGCAAGCCAAACGCCTTTCTAATGATTGTGGACTCCAGCAGTAGACTATTACTGGCTATTGATGATTGTTTTGACAGCTATAAAATATGAAATTACTGAGTCGATATAAATCATGCTCTTACTATTATATAAATACTTATAAAAGAACATGAGCAAAATTCAATTTCATTAGTATTTAAAATATGTAATAAACACACGCACTTTCGCATTTTCATATATACATATTATACATACATATATTATTATATACATAATACATACATATTTCGCATTTACCAGCAGCCTGAGTAGGCTGGAGCCTAGGGCGGCAAATTAGGGTCGTATTTCCCGAAGCAGCCGTGGCCAGAAAGGACCTGCGTCAGTCGGAAGGAAAGGGTCCCGTGCTGACACACTACCCACTCAACGATGACAGGCTGGAGCCGCTCTACGGCGGCAAAACCAGCACTTGGAGAACCAACGAGCTATCGTGGCTCGTTGGCTAGTCCACTTGCTGCCTCACGCCATTTGCGTAACTCTTCGGGCGGGGACCGACTGCCGCTACCCGCCCAGAACTCAACCGTCCGTTAATATACTTCGGCAAGCACTTTCACCTCCAAATCCTACAGAGGTATTCCGGCCAACGCGCAAGGCGCCTCCTTAGACACGATGCCGGAACCGCGTATGGCTCTAACCGCCAATATCCTCTGAGGGTGCCAGAGGTATGCGTACTCTGGGTGGTCAGAGATATCGTCCACACCGGTGCGCCGTACAGTGCCACTCGAGGCTGTTGGGTACGGGTGTGCGGAACGCGCACCGCACAAGGGCGTCATGTAGAAAGAGGCGGCGAAAACAGATACAGAAACAAAAACGGAACATTCTCACATTTTTAGTCGATTCAATTCCGACACACCACCTGCCGCAAACCCCAGTGGGTGACACACGTTAAAAAAGGGAGGTATTGAATTGTAGGGGGACAAAAATGTGGAAATCCGCCACTGATAATATATATATACAAGTAAATTCAAAGTTATTAAATATTAAGGCCAAATTTACTGGATTTAAATATGAATTCCTCTTAATTTGTCATCAGTGGTTTGGTGGTTTGATATCCCCGCGTTGGTGGTCCTCTCAGTGGCTGTTAGAGGCGCTGACATCAGTCCTTGCTGAGAAGGCTCCAGCGGCGCCACACAGTGAGGCTCAGAGGCCGGCTGATGCGTTACTGTTGGATCATGTGTTGCCTGCGCTAAGGTAAGTCAAGAAACAAAAAAGACGGCCCCTAGTTCGTAGTTAATCGAAAATATAATCGCAAAGAAATTCGCTATGTCAAAGGTGATATTTATGATTTTGTTGACTTTGCTAAAGCGTTTGATACGGTGAGCCATAACTTATCTACATCCATTCCAATGTTTAATCTTAAAGTATTGGATCGATTTTGATTTAAATTTTGTTAATAATATAAATTCTAAACTTTCTAATTGATCCTAATTAAGTTCCTGTGTTCTGGATTTTGGTGTCACCCAGGGTAGTATACTGTCACCTTCATTATCACCATCAGATTCAGTTTTTAAATATGTGAAATAACCTTTGACATGTGTCATAAATAAGGAAGTTAAACTGCTTAGTATAAAATTGCTAAAGAATCGCAGAAAAGAAAGAGTTGCTATGCAAAATATCATTCATCATTAGGAAAATTGTAGTTTAATAAGCACATCTGTCTCCTATAGGTTGGACTCTAGTAATTCTGTGAGAGCTGTGGCTTCTCCAAGGTTGGAGAGAGCTGATATAGAAGGTGCCACTGATGAACTGTCTCTACATAAGGTAAGACATTATCGTGCATCGATACAGCTCTATATGAAAGCACTATGTAAGACGATTATGAATCGCTTATTGGTTCTGAACTTTATTTAATGAATACATTTAAACCACTAGAAGCTTACACAGATTGTAATCGACTACTTAGTGAAAACATGAATTATATTCAATTCAGATCCTTGTTCTGAGTCTAAAATCGCTTTTAATTTTTTTCTGTCTTATAAAATTTTGCACGTATCGATATCTGTTCTATCTCTAGGGCGCAGCCATTGTCAGTATGGCCATAGAAGCGGCGGGAGAATCGGCCGGTCGGGCAGCACTCGCGCGACTGTTGCGCGATCATCGATACGCTAGTGCCGATGCAAGGTATTTTCGAGTACTTATGAAAGTTATACATAACTTATGTTTTATTTTCTACTATTATCCAACAATAAAATTTATAAACATGTTGCAGGGATCTCTGGCGAGCCTTAGAAAGGGATGGGACTGAGGAAGGTACCGGTGGAGCCGCGTGGGATGGCTGGTGCGAACGCCCTGGATATCCTCTACTTTGTGCTACGTCTTTAGGGAATGATGTACTTCTGAAACAAGAGAGGTAAGATGAGAGAAAGAAAAAGCGAGAGTTGATATTGGAGTTTTCGGTCAAAAATTCAAATTACCTATGAAAAAGCATTATCAGTTTATTTACTAAAATTCTGTTTTAAATTGCATTTTTTACAGATTCGTAATGTCAGCGGAACCTCCCGACCCTGAGCCTCCAATGCTAAACTATTTGCTGACTCTGGACCTTAGAGCTGATCTTGATGAATTGTTTTATGAGCCTGGTAACCCATTTTTTCATGGAATCTTAATTTTACAAATATCTTTGAAGAAATTGAAGATTTTTACAGTAGTAGGAACATTTAAGAATATTGTAGTTCCATCTAGCTGAGCCAAAATAAATAGTTCTTTCTAATTCTGCATCGCGCAATGACAGTTTTTGCCGTGATTAGTGTAGATATACACAACTTTCTAAGCAAACTTGTAATTTTGTAGCTATATTTTGTAATCTAATTTAAGTGTTGCCAAGCACACTTCCATTAGTCACTTGTATAACCATCACTTTTATCCCACCTTTAATAAAAGAAGGATTCAAATCGTAATTGTACCTTTAAGAAGTATAATTTACGTCTAAAAACTCTCATTCTCTACCTGTCTCCTCTTAGAGAACTTCACAGAGATAATGGAGGAGGATCTCAACGCTACCAGCACGACGACCCCACTACCAACCACTCGCCGAACAACGGTAAAGACGACCAAGCTCCCGCCCCACAGGTGGATCATACCCGTCACGTTTGTGGTGGGACCTTTGGATGAAGAAGATGAGAATGTCACGAGGGTGTGGAGGAATTTGACTGAGGGTGTACACAATGGAACTTGGTAAGTTATTTTAACGCTTTCTGATGTTATATGCAGTGGAGGACTTCATTAAAATTTATACCATTTTATTGAAGTATTTATTTCTAAGAATTCTGACTACTTTTTGATTGAAGTGTCCTTTTTAATATTTAAAAAAAGACAACTCCCGCACTAGGAATATATCCTGTGTCGCAGGGGATTTTAAAAACATACATGGAAACGTACATAAAGAAAATCCAGACTCAGAACAACAATTTGTAGATCACACAAAGTGTTGTCCCATGTGGGGATCGGACTCACAACACTTAGCGCAGTAGGAAGCAGCGAGACGACCTCTTAAACCACTACGCCATCCGTGCAGTCAAGTGAATGACTTCAAAAAAGGCAATGGTTCTTAATTTGGCTGTATTTTATGTTTGTCACCTTAGAAGGGTCCCGCGTGATGCGACGGTGTGAGGTATAACGAGGCGTGTGACCTCATTCCTGAAATAAATAGTTTTTGACGTGACAACGTCTTATAATTCGATGGAGCCGGCTGCACGCACGAAAAAACATGACTCATGCGGCGTTACCTCGCTCTGAGGCGTTCCATTTAAGGCTTGAAGTGCAAGCGAGAGCGCGGAACGAGCGACAAAGAGGCACAATCGGCCTCCGCGTTCGGCAGCGTTCGACATCTGTCTCTCTCCTACTTGAGTGAGCGATGCGTCCGCGTGGACAGCTGCTATACAATAATACATTTACATGTTTTCGTCAAGTATCAAGTGCAGTGAAAAGTGAATGTGGTGTCTTATGACGTTGTCACGTTCAACTATCGTCAGTAAACCGACTTTACAGACAACCGATTTTTCAATTTATAATTTTTACCTGTATGCTACTTTTCTCATCTATCCATAGGTTAAGGTGTTTTTTTTAAATTTCAGGTACGACGTAGGCAATGAAACGAAACGTGTGTCCCGTTGGATTGAAAATGTGACGCACCTCATATGGATGAACGATACTGAGCGTATGTGGTAAAACTTTCCACTTTGAACTATACCCTATACTAAAGTCTGTAAGGTTTAGAATCTAATGTTAGGTTTGGTAGTTAAGCTATTGTGTGTAATATTAAACTATCAGATTGGGTGCTTCGGACGCCGGTTTTCATCATGTTTTTATTGCATTCATTTATTTTTTATAGCTATGTAAACAAATATTAGAAGTTATTTAAACCTGCTCTGAATTCTGTTATTAAACTTTTTATGCTATAAACATTATATTTTAACTTCGGCTCTGTCTCCAAAAATCCTTTTAAAAAAAATGTTGTACCAACTTCAAACAATACAAACAAAGAGCACTAAGAACCTAGCAGTAATCGCGGTTGATTTGCTGTCATTTTTTTAAGAGTTCCGTTGTCTGTCTCCGACATTCATCACCAGATCTATATAAAATTTAAATGTGGCCATTTCGTAAACCCTTTCGAACAAATAAAGAATTTTGCAAATCCGTCTATATCTGACATACATAAAAAAATATCCGAATCGATAACCTCCTCCTTTTTAAAGTCGGTTAAGAAGGAGTAAATATTCTCTGTTTTTGCTACGTTTTTTCTTAATGTTCGGCTCCTATTGATGGTAGCGTAATGATATATACCCGAGGAAGGCTATATCCTCGATAAATTACCAATAGTTCCTGACATCAGCGCATTCAACCAAACAAGCTCTTTATCTTTATAATATTAAATAGATTTGGATGACAATTCTATATTTTGCCATCTTGGGTCTTGAGGACTACCTATTTGAATTTGAGGTCACATGGTGTCATTTGGCGAGTCCAGCAGATTAAACTTGGAGATTATGTAGAGAATTGGATTCTGGAAAATTTCTTAAATTTTTATTTAGCTCGTTATTAAAACGTATTTTTAGAATTTCTAAACTGTAATTTGTATAACATTTATAAATATGCCTTTTAGTGTTGATCCCAGACCTTGGCAAGCATAAGTGGGTGAGGTACAATGTGGGAGCCCGAGGCCTGTATCGAGTAGCACCTCAAGACAGGACTGACGGAGAGGTAAGCATTTACTTTTATCTCTTAATTAAGATTCAGTTAAGAAACGCTAGTCTTTTCTTCTTTCTTCGCTTCTTTTTATCCACGAGCATTACCAGTGTTTCATAGGAAGGCAAGATCGAGCAGAAGATTTCTACTCGTAGAAAACTCTTGGCTTTGATACTACCCATGGCAAAAGGTATAGCGATGATTAATTTTAGGGTAGGGCAAAACAAGCTATTTCACAAAATATTGTAAGGTGTATAAATTGAAATATGTTACATTGCTCTTCGATAGATGTCGCTGTGCCGTTTTGCTAAATCGCGTTATGGTTTCGTTACCGCAATCAATATAAATTGATTTGATTTCTTTGTATTGAACGAACATCCTTTTACCTATTGTGTACAGTGTTACCTAGTGATTAATAAAACTAGTTGTAAAGAGTCAGTGGTTTTAATTAAGGCTCCTGGGGATCCATTTGTACATGGTCCTTCTCAGCCGGATACAGTGCGCGGTAGTGTCGACGCGTGCAATTTTTAGTGCTTCACCAGCATAGAAACCAGAGTGGATCGCTCTGAAGTGCTGCCGCCGCTTAGCGCCACGAAGAGGCCTCAGCGACGTATTCCGTCAACAGCAGAGGGCGCCACGGGTGTGGAGTCACTTGGCTGTCAGCAGCGTGTTGAAAGCGCATTATACAGCGGAGTGTCATTGAAGCGGACAATACAGGCGAATAATAGCGGTGGTGTGGAGGAGTTACAAGCGCCCCCTATCGGAGAAATTAAGAAGTATTGTAAATTTGGAGTAAGTGAGTGACGCATTCAAGCAAAAACTTCTAACTTCAACATGGAAGCATTAATAAAGTTGCAAAATGATGCAAAGAATTCCATTGAGAAGGGCAGAGTAAATTATAAAAAATCACCTAAAGAACGTCTAACACCTTCGTTCCTGGAGACCAGATTGGAAACTTTGGAACAACAATGGAAGTCTTTTGTAGAAACACATAGAAAGATAGTAGAACTTGCAAAAGATAATGAACATAATTATTTTAAAGCAGATACATACGATAGCACCGAAGAAAGTTATATTTTATACAAATCAGAGTTGAGAGAACACATTTCAAAACTTGCAAAGCCGACTAAGGGTTCAGATAAGCAACCGGTAATAAAGATGTATAATAATGTTAAATTACCTAAAGTCGTTATTCCAATGTTTTCGGGAAAATATACAGAATGGATATCATTTCGTGATCTATTTTTATCGCTAATTCACAACAACGATGCAATTGATGATGTACAGAAGTTACATTATTTAAAAGGTCATTTGGCGGGTGAGGCAGAACAATTGTTGCGCCACACTCCAGTCACAGCTGCCAATTACCAGGAATGCTGGCAGTTGCTAACTAAGCGTTATGACAACAAGCGGTATTTGTGTAACGCTATGTTAAAGAGATTAATAAATCAATCGAATATTTTGGAATCAGCAGGCGCTATTAAGGAGCTTTTGGACACAACTGTAGACTGCATAAATGGCCTATCAACTATTGGTGTTGGCGTTGACTCTTGGGATGTTATAATAATATACTTAATCAGCGAAAAATTAGATAGCGAGTCACGAAAATTATGGGAGTCAACGGTTGGTACCTGTGAGGAATTACCAACATTTGACAAATTTAAAACGTTTCTAGAGTCTCGATTTCGGTCATTAGAGTACTTGGATACACAGAGTGGTAGACAAAGGTCAAGTTACAAACCAAGAGTTCTTCATGCGGTTGCTTCCAAAAACGATACCCCTATTAAAGCAAGCTGTCCATTCTGTAAACAACCCCATAAACTTAGTCACTGTAAACAGTTTTGTAAAAATGACTATAAAACACGTAGTGATTTCGTTCGAACTAGTGGCTTATGCTTTAATTGTTTAGGGTCGAATCATTCTATTAAGTTTTGTCGTGTCCCCACCACTTGTCAGATTTGCAATCGCAAACACCACTCTTTATTACACCCTAAGGAATCCTCAGGATCAACGTCGTCTAGAGGCATTGCAGAGACGACGTCAGTAGTCAAGTCGGCAGTAGCTACATCGAGTACTGCTTCCGATGCGGTGCAGGAATTAAATGCTGCCGCTATAACCACTCACTTTAGTAAGAAGGCTGTTCCAAATCAGGTCTTATTAGCAACCGCTCTTGTCGAAGCACAGACAGGCAACGGATACAATCACCTGCTGAGGGCGTTATTGGATCAAGGATCCCAGACGTCGTTCATAACCGAATCAGCAGTTCAGTTACTTGGACTCAAAAAGACACCCGCAAGAGGTGTCATTTCAGGCATAGGAGGTGACGGTGGAGCTATGGTCTCCAAGTTTATCGTTTTCGTAACTATTAAATCACGTCACGATCCTAATTTTCACATCCAAGTTCAGGCATATGTTTTGGGCAATATTACATCGTTACTTCCAGGTGATAAAGTATTAGTACCAACGTGGCATCAACTAGAAGAAATAGTTTTAGCAGATCCAGAGTACCACAATCCAAACAAAATCGATATTTTGCTTGGAGCTGAAGTTTATGGCCAGGTACTCAAAGAGGGTTTAATCAAGCACCCTCTTGGACCCTTGATAGCACAAAATACACGGTTAGGTTGGATTTTGTCTGGTCGAACACACAGAGATTCGAATTTGGATTCAGCACATTGTCACCCGGCATTGGTAAGCATGCATTCGCAGATCAGTGACAATGAAATGCTTAAGAGATTTTGGGAAATCGAATCTGACGCATACAGTAAGAAGAAAATACTTACACAGGAAGAACAGTTATGCGAAGACTTCTTCAAGCAAACCACTCAACGAGACAGCACTGGTCGGTATGTTGTCAGTTTACCATTTAGAGACTCAGACCCACAGTGCAAATACGGCCATACCAGAGACATTGCGCTTCGACGATTTCACCTTCTTGAACGTCGTTTTAAGAAGGATCCAGAGATGAAACAGAAGTATACTGAGGTCATTCAAGAATACCTCGACCTTGGTCACATAGAAGTAATCAATCCCGTAACGGACACTCAGAGAACGGAGGCTGTGTACTTACCTCACCACGCCGTAGTTCGGGAGGATAAAACGACGACCAAGGTCCGAGTTGTGGCGTATTGCAGAAGATTTTTTAAAATAAAAAGGAAAGGACACACTTACCTGACCAGCGAGGAATTAGATGAGGCCCTGGAAATTTGTATTAGAGATTTTCAACGGCAATCATTTAGTGAAGACATAGACGATGTTAAGAGATCAGGAAGAGTTAAGACTAAAAGCAAATTAAAGGCACTATGTCCCATACTGGATTCACGAGGAATACTGCGAGTAGGAGGAAGAATAGAACATGCTCAACTCTCTGAAAGCATGAGACACCCCATTATTATTCCTCAACATAGTCACCTAGCTGGCCTGCTTGTTGATGAAGCCCATAGAAAAACACTTCATGGAGGACCCACTCTAATGTTGAATTACTTGCGCTCGAAATACTGGATAATCTCGGCAAAAGGCACAGTCAAATCATTTGCACGTAGATGTGTAACTTGTCTCCGACACTCAGCTAAATTTAAAAACCAATTCATGGGACAATTACCCTTGTGCAGAGTTACACCAGCCAGAGCATTTGTACACAGTGGAGTGGACTTCGCAGGTCCAATCAATATTAGAGTGTCCAAAGGTCGCGGCAACAAGTCCTATAAGGGATACATATCTTTGTTTGTATGTATGGTTACGAGAGCGGTGCACTTGGAGGTCGTAAGCGATCTCACGTCACAATCTTTTATTGCAGCGTTTAAAAGATTCATTGCCAGACGAGGTCACTGCAGTGACCTTTGGAGTGACAACGGAAAGAATTTTGTAGGTGCTTCCAAGGAGTTACGCTGCCTAGTAAATGCGGAACAGTCATTGGTCGCTGATGAAATTAGGGATTGGCTCAGCTCCAACAGTGTTAAGTGGCATTTTATACCACCGCACGCTCCAAATTTTGGTGGTCTTTGGGAGGCATGCATTAAATCAACTAAATATCACATGAAGAGAGTCATTGGCGACTCCACTCTCACTTACGAGGAGCTGTCTACTCTTCTGGTCCAAATTGAGGCGTGTCTCAATTCTAGACCAATTTCTCAAATTTCGCAAAATTCAGAAGACCAAATGCCCCTTACACCTGGTCACTTTTTGATAGGAGAGCCGTTGATTCTTGCACCGGATCGTAACTATGAACACTCTAATGTAGGCACACTGAAAAGATGGCAGTTGCTTCAAAAAATGACACAAGACTTCTGGCGACGTTGGTCTCAGGAATATCTGACCCAAATGTTGCACCGTTATAAGTGGTCCCAAAAGGAACCTGAACCAAAGATAGGTGATGTGGTTCTGATCAAGGAAGACAATTTACCTCCTGGTAGGTGGTTACTCGGTAGGGTTTTATTAAAACACCCGGGTTCGGACGGAATCACTAGAGTCGTAACTTTGAAATGCAAGGATTCTGTTTTTAAACGGCCAACAAATAAATTGTGTGTTTTGCCAATAGCAGATTGATAATCTAGTTGTAAGTTTCAGTAGTATAGCTTGTAGTCGTAAGTCTTACTACATATCCCCCTTGACCTCATGGTGGGCGGATTTCATTAGTTTTGCTTACCAATCCCCTTTACCTCATGGTGGGCGGAATCAGTTATTTTACATTATTAAGGACATAGTTTTATTAATATGTCCTTGGTGGGCGGAATGTATAAATTGAAATATGTTACATTGCTCTTCGATAGATGTCGCTGTGCCGTTTTGCTAAATCGCGTTATGGTTTCGTTACCGCAATCAATATAAATTGATTTGATTTCTTTGTATTGAACGAACATCCTTTTACCTATTGTGTACAGTGTTACCTAGTGATTAATAAAACTAGTTGTAAAGAGTCAGTGGTTTTAATTAAGGCTCCTGGGGATCCATTTGTACATAAGGAATAATTTATATGAATATAATTGTAGTTGTCTTGCTTCTAGTCTTAAACCTTGCGAAAGATTGACACCAGTAGGCAGTTAAATAAGCTTAATAGTTAAAAAAATATTTGCAGTGTCTATTGTTTTTAATGCACGCACGTATTACGTAGGAGAGCCATGCTTCGGCACGAATGGGCCGGCTCGACCGGAGTGATACCACGGCCTCACAGAAAACCGGTGTTAAGCAATTCTTTCGTTGCCTTTTATTGAGTGAGTGAGATCCCCCCTCCCGCTGACTCGAGCAGGAGGGACTCCAACGGCAGCAACGCACTTGTGACTTTTGAGTTGCAGGTGTCCATGGGCGGCGGTAGTGGCTTACCATCAGGTCACCCGTCTGCTTGTTTGCCCTTTAAACCATAAAAAAAAACAGTTCTAACATACATAGGTACCTAATAGTCAGTTTGCTGATACTAAGAATTAGCTGGAGCCGTGCTCGAATTTGAAAAGCGCTGCCTTTGTGGGTTCGATTCCCGGACCTAACAAAAATTTTATATGGTTTTCTGAGAGAAAAAATTGCCTGAGTTACTCTTTATATAGACAGCTTTAGAATTATAAACAAATAACAGCTTTAGAATTCCATAAGATAAAACATATTTGAGACAAAATTTTTGACGCCATGACAAATGAACATCAATAAAAAAAAATTAAACAAAATTATTAATCTAAGCATTTATTTTGAGATATTATAGTGCATTTTTTTTTTTTTTTTTAACGTGTGGAAATCCCCTCGGACCGTCACCCCTCCGGGGTTTGCGGCGGGGTGGTGTGTCGGACTCGGACCGACTAAAACCACACGGTGTGCCACTCTGCGCCCGTAATAGGAGGGATCCGGGAACAGCTGTTGTTAAGACATCCGGACCCCTCCTAGCGCCGGCCCGCTCCCTATTATTTCCTCTCTTTAGGCGACGTTCGGCACACGCGGACGCCGCCCCCTCGCGGCTGGCCAATCTAATGCGGGTGGAGGGGAAACCCACCCCGTCCACCCGCGGCCACACTCAGGGCGGCATGAGGCGGTGATAGGACAAACCCTATACCAACCCGTCTGGCCAGCGTGGAATAGTGGGTCAAAACCTCCTTTTTGAGGAGAGGCTTATATCCAGCAGTGCACTGTTGAAGGCTGCTGATGGTCGTAGCGTAATGTTTTATATTATTATCGTTATAGCCTTACTCAATAACTGGGTAATTTAACACTAAAATAATTTTTCAATTCGAACCAGCAGTTCCTGAGATTAGCGTCTTCAACCAAATAAACAAAAAAAGTATAGATTATGTGACAATAGTGCTTAAAGCTGTAAATTTGTCATTCAGACAGCAGAATCAGCGGCATCTCGTGCGGCTGAAATATACGCGAGCGGTGCGGCTGCAGAACGAGCGTTACTGCTCGACGATGCCTTTGTCCTCAGCCGAGCTGGACGACTACCTGCCAGTCGTGCTATAGCTGCTATCTGTAAGTGTACCTGCTAAACTGATGTACCTTTGACCGTATGGTAATGGACTAGAGTACCGACTTTAGTCCATTTAAGAAAATAGTGACTCTTCTATCAAACCCTGCCCCCTGACAAATCAGATTCCAAGACATTTTCGTTTGATCTTAAGCGTGAAAAGGTAACAGATAGACAGACAGACACACACTTTCGCATTTATAATATTAGTATGGATTATATCCAAAAATCTAGAATAATCCACTTATAAGCCTCCAATCTGTTTCTGGTGAAACTCTTTTGAAGTCAAAGAAGTTAATTTCGAGAATTTCTCTTACCATGCGCTCATTTTCCAGCACGATTGAGTACAGAAACCCACTGGGCTCCATGGCGTGTTGTTCTCAACCACCTCTCCTGGTGGAGGGAACTATTGCAGCTTTCATCATCTGGCCCTCATCTCATCAAGCTCCTTAGCACGCTGCAGCCTCCTGTGGTAAATGTGTATACCGCTGAGCAGATCAGCAGTCATTCACTTGGAGAGGATCTACTGTGAGTCTTAAAAACGTAATAATTAAAGAGAAGATAGGCGAAAAACTAATACATAAAAGAATTGGGTCAATTTAAGTCCGGTTGACCTTTTACCATTGAATTCAAGCAGGATTAAGCTTTTAATTTTGTTTTCTTTTTACTGGAATTTACTGGAATTGGAATTGGAAGCTAGCAATAACCTTGATAGAACTGGCTTTATTGAACACATTGGATTGGGTATATAAGTTGGATGGATTTAGTAAAGTTGGTTGGATTTATTGTTATGTATCTCTCTCTGTTCCTAGATGGTTAAGTGGAGCTCTTCTTACGGCTGGAGTAGAATGGGAGAACCCGGTGGTTACAAAACAAGCTGTTGAACTATTTGATGCTTGGCTTGAACGGAACCAGTCTATTCCGGAAAATTATCAAGAGGTATGTTTAAATAAACTAATAAAAACCGGTCAGGTACGAGTCGAACTCGTGCGCCTATGGTTCCGTACCTACCCAGATTTTACGTAGATTTTCGCGAAAATTTGTAAGTATCAAAATTTATCTTAATTTTCAACGTTTTTTATTTTTTGGAATTATTCCTTTATTTGTGCTGTAAGATGTTTCTTTATAAGTTTTCGCGAAAATCGAAATTTGCCCATATCTTTTTATCGTGTTGACTCAGGACCTTGTTTTGTATACACCTAATAGGGACCATAGACCTCAGTATCTGGTATAAATTTAAACTTGCTAGGACAGTTTTCACCTTTTGAGGTAAGGAACCTTAAAAAACTACCATATTTTAAGCATATTGCGATCAACAACGTTTGTGGTAAATAAAAAATCATAACAGTTTTCTATTGAAGTGCTGTGAACATTCCCTGGTGTAGTAAGCATAAAATAAACAATGGAATTATTCTTGAAAGTTAAGGTCGGTTGCATGGTATGATATAAGAATACAGAGTGTCACCACCCCTATACATCCCGTTGGTGTCGTAAGAGCCGACTAAGAGACGAAAATACGCAGAACAACAGCACTGCAGAGAGAAGGAAAACTTGACACAACCCGTCTGGCCAGCGTGGTATAGTAGGCCAAAACCTCCTTTCTAAGGATAGGCCTATGCCCACCAGTGGACTATCAAAGGCTGTTGATGATGATGTCTAGTACCCAATTCCATAGTACAAGCTCTGCTTAGTTTGGGACTAGATGGCGTTTTGTGAATGTGGTGGAATATTATTATCATATGAATAAGAGAATGAAGATGACCATTCTTTACATATTATAAAATACAGTCGCTTTTTTGTGTTGTACGCTTAGATTTTGTAAACTAAATAACGAATTTCAATGGGGTTTTCACTATAAGAGAGAGTGATTTAAGAAGAAGGTTTATATGTATAATATAATACATGCTTAATATAGTGGAGAAAAATCGCCAATTTCAAAGATTTATTGTAAAAAATATGTTTCTGTGCGCTTAAATTGCAAACGTTGGCTAAATCTTACTAGATAGGCCAATATAATGTACTACAGAATTATATATCTTAAAAAGATCTACAAAAAAAAACTGCCATGGTATATGTCTATTTCCTAAGGATAAACCACAGTAACCATTTTTATTTTTTAAATATCACAAAAAATGGGTTTTTCAGGAAGCTATTTTAAACAATATATTATTATTCCTTATCCGATACTTTGCGCATTTAATATAGATTAAAATTGCTGTTCACACTACATCATAAAAATAAATATTTTAGAAGCTTAAAATGCGGGGGCCCTATGGCCGTCGAGTCGTACGTCCGTCCACGCAAAAAATAAGGGGTGGCAACGGCCGGCTGGACCGGACCTGGCCTATAAATATTGCATAGAAAGATGTCTCGTAGTATGGTTCTATCATAATAATAGTATAATTAATTACTCCACACTGACATCAGTAGTATTAGTAGTATCTATATTGCACCCGTGCAAAGCTAGTATTTACATAAAAGAAAAGAAAGAGTAATGATCCAAGCGGTGTTCGGTCAGGCGGCGTTCACGGCGGGAGTCCGCGCGCAGGGGGCGCGTGCGTGGGGCGCGTGCTGGCGCGCGCTCACCGCCTCGTGCGCCGCGCCGCGCCCCACGCTCTCGCACCGCGCGCTGCTCACCGCGCTCGCCTCGCCCACCGACGACTGGCTCTTCTATCGGTAACTTGCACACACCTCCACAGTTCTCCTTATATTGGTTACGTATGTACGTGCGAGCAGGCCTATCTCACTCCCTGCGACCCAAGTTTTTTGCCGCCGTGTACTTGTAGACACTAAGTATTAGTCTACAAGTACACGGCTTTGACGCATCGTATAAACTGGGCCTCAATTTTGCTATTTTAATATTGACTGTCGATGGAATGTCGTCGGAATAGTTTTGCACTTTTCGTATTCTACTACATACTCGTATGGAAAACCAATGGCCTTCCGATGACTTGTCACCGATACAAATGTCGTTGATGTTTTTGTAAACGGTACGTTTACGTTTGGTAAACGGTACATTTTAAATTTGTAAGAAAATGATTTCATTTTCCAGGTATGGCCATGTTGTTGATATCACCATTGATGACCTATATTACTATATCGACAGTCTATTGACACTATGAATTGATGTTAGTAGAATACTGATATTTTGACCGATGTCAATGGCGTCTCGATGGCATCTCAATAGCGTGTCAATGGAATGACAGTGGCTTGGCGTTAACATAAAATAGCAGAATCTGATCAGTTTGCTGCCACGCGCCGATCGGTTCACACCTATAGTAGCATCGTCCTTTCGTCGTTTAAGATATTACGTCACAATAAAATAGTAAATATTATTCAATGCAAATAAACCTATATTGTACAGCATGGGGCTGCTTTAAAAAAGAGGGAAAAAAGGGTGAAGAAGTCCAAAGTTAAGATGGGAGCTTTTTGCTCTAATTTTAAAAGACATGGTTAAAAAAAGCACAAATATCGTACTAAATTTATGCAACTTATTTCGTTTTGCGAGTTATCAATGCTTATAGGAAGTAGATAAGTATTTTTGGAGTTCACTCCTTAAGAATCAATTTTCATATAAGGCACACGGTATGATATAAATAAGACGAATAAAATTTTGTAACCGAATGACCTCGTTACTTTTTTTTAAATAATAATAAAATGTTTTTATCTTCTGTAGATACATAGGTCGTTAAAAAACTCATAATTCGTTAAAAAAGCTCATAATTCTTAGCAACAACCATTTCGTACACTTATTTCGTATGTGTTATTTTATTAAAATAATAAAAACGAAAACGTGGCGTAAGCTCAATTGATTATTGCAGGGCCCAACGTTCCCCCTCCCAGTAATATTTTTTTATTTTTTAGTGGTTAGTTTTCTTGTGTTAGGAATAGGTTCACGTAGATAGTGTACTGGTCATGATTCAAACCCACGACCTCTTGATCGCAAGTCCAATGCCTTAGGGGAAGGGGGGGGGAGGGGAGCGAGGGGTATGAAAGGAAGGCACTTGTATATCTTGAGTTGTAGCTGTCAATTGGTCTCCATGACCACTCTCATGATCTTTTGAAACCACTGTTCCAGGTTCGCATTTTCAGTGTTATCGACTGAAGCACAGCGCGGTCGTGAGTGGAGGCTTTGGGTGACTACCCTGTATACGAGTACTTGTAGGTAAGAATTATTTTAAATATTATAATTTGGTTTTTATCTTATTTTTCAAGAAAGACAACTCCCGCTCTATGAATATATCCTGTGTCGCGGGAGACTTTACAAACATTCATGAAACAGACACAAAAAAAACCCATATTCAGATCACACAAAGTGTGGGCCCATGTGGGGATCGAGGTAGGTAGGCGCAGTAGGAAGCGGAGAGACTATCGCTTAAACCACTACGCCATCTGTGCAGTCAAGTTACCCTTTCCCATCAATTCATTTGCCATGTTAAGACAGCGATTTACTATTAATCTTAAGATTAACCAGTAAAATCTAAGACTGACCAACTCCTAATGATAAAATTCGAAATGGCTTTACCACAGAGATGAGAGACGTGACTTTAAAAAGAGTGTGACCCTGAAGAATGTTTTTTTTTTAATTTAAATGGGACCAAACATCAAGTAAACTCTACCAGAAAAAAATACATGTTTCACACTATGAAGTAAAGAATGATTAAAATACCATTCTAATTTAATTTATATTTTAGAATTTAAGCTTAGTTTGATTATGGCGGCGGGCGATGGATACTGTGTTGTTTTTTTTACCTTTTCTAAACTAATGTACCAAATGGACTTAAAAAACCCTTTTCCATTTGATAGCTCCATTCTTCAGAAAGGTTAAAGTTAACATCATGTTACGACCCTTAGAAGTAGAACAGTGAACATAAAGTTGAAACTTTGGGTAATGAAGGTCTTTGATCTGTATATTTCTCAGATGGAGAGGGGCAGCCGGAATATGGCGTATATTACGACCAAATCCAGTTCTACCACCACCAGCTCTGCAAGCAGCGGCGCGGTGCTTATACCAGCCCTATGATTACTATCGGGTATGTATTATATTTGTATACAAGAATTAATAATAATATAATATAATATTTTACCACATTCACACAACGCCATCTAGTCCCAAACTAAGCAGAGCTTGTACTATGGCTACTAGACAACTGATATAAATACTTATATACTTTTTTTTTGTAAAACATACATATTATACATAGAAACACCCAGACCAAATCAAACATTACATGTTCATGCACACAAATGTTTGACTTGAGCGGGAATTGAACCCGCGACCATTGGAATAGCAGTCCATCCAGTCGTCCTAATTTTCAAAGTTAAATTTATCCTTTATTGAATTAATCCTTTTATTTTTAAAGTTGAACAGAGCACTAGCAATACTAACAAAGAGCAATAAAAACCAGCAATCGCGGTTGATTTTCTGTCATTTTTTGAAGAGTTCCGTTGTCTGTCTCCGAAACTTATCATCAGATCTGTATGAAAGTTAAATGGGACCATTTCGGCATAATTCCTTTACGTACAAAAAAAGAGTTATGAAATCCGTCTATGCGACGTCCGACGGAGTTATGCCCGAAGATACATTAAAATAATATAGCCATCAGAATTGATAACCTCGTCCTTTTTGAAGTCGGTTAAAAATGAACGTAGGCAAGACCGTTTAACGTGGGCCGCTTCAGCATACGATAACTCAGTCTTACAGAATGCCGGTGTTATGCAAAGCTTATGTTGCACACAGCTTTACCCTCATACTCATCATTGTACACATCAGAACAATGTTGTTATATACTCGTATTTAATTACTGTATCCAGCTGTGTTTGTTTATCCTTTCTTCCTTTCTTCTCATAAGGCTCAACCCCTTGGAAACGGGCGCTTGTCGATCGGCACAATAAATTAACTTCATTTTTCTAAATATTTGACAAAACACATTGATGCTGATGTACGTGTTGATCTATTAAGAGTCTAAGACAAAATAAAGATATTTTGAGTTTTAGTTTACATATCGCCGAGTGAGGTTAAACTTTAATTCTGTCGGACGCACTTAAGTGCCAGTAACGCACTTGTGATGCTTGATTTATAGGTGTCCGTATGTAGTCAATTTAATAGTCCACTGCTGGACATTAGCCTCTCCTTAGAAAGGAGGTTTTGGCCTCTTTACCACGCTGGCGTTGTATAGAGCGGGACGAGACGGGTTGGTATAGAGTTTGTGTCAAGTTTTCCTTCTCTCTGCAGTGCTGTTGTTGTGCGTAGTTTTCGCCCTTAGTCGCCTCTTACGACACCCAAGGGATGAATAGGGGTGGTGACACTCTGTATTCTTAATCCGTCACCACACATAATTTCCATGTCTAAGTCATTTACCTACAGTTCGTTAGTTTGTTATTTTTTGGCGTTTGTAACCCTACAGGTTAATAACAGCCCTATTGCCAGATGCCAATTTAGTGTATTGTGCATGTGTATTGCGTTGAATTTTGACAGCGGAGTAAAAGAATATTTTGTGCGAATTGTATAATATTTAACTATTTGACTATCATTTTTTTATATTCATAACACATTTCCGTCTCATATTGTCGTGACAAGTCAATAAAGTCATAGATTTTCTGAATTTGTCACACAATTTTATAAAAGATACATTTAATTATATTTTTTCTTCTTGAAATCTCCGATCGCTTGTGTAAGTTTGAGTCTCTTTGGCTTACAGACCGGAAACCTTTCATTACTACATATTCTCACGTAAATTTCTAATAATAATAATGATAAATTTTAATTTACAGTTCAAAGAGCTTTTCGGGGAGTACCGCGGCGCTTCGATAGCGTTAGACACCATTGCACTAAACGCAGCGTGGGTCCAACGAGCCGACAGCGACCTGACACGATACTTTAACGCCTTGGGCCAACACTGACTTCAGACAAGTAACATAGAACTATAGAAAATGTAGAATTGAAATAGCGTGGCAACTGCGTCGCAGGAGCGAAGCAAATGCGTTCGAATTACGTGAGTATACAGTAAAAACATTTACTGCCTGTTTGAATCAGCAGTGACTGACCCTCAACTTATATCACAATAGACAGCGCCTTATTGGGCATCAACAGCGCCACTGTAATAAGTGTTCGGTTTTTATAATAAACCGTATCCTACACTACATTCGAATATCATATTTAAGTTACTTGATAATCCATTAAATGCCAACTATTTGCTCTTAGTTTTTAAATCGCTTCTGCGTAGCAACTGCGTGGCAATTGCATCGCGATTGCGGTGCAACATTATAATTAAACATATGTTTATAAAACTTTTAGCTTTTCTGCATATGATATATTCTGAAAGCATTTAATTAATATTACGTCCAAACAAAACAACTTCCTTTATTTAAGCCAAGATAGAATATCATACGATAGAACCTAACTCAAGTTTTAAACCACTTACGCCACGTCGCCGTGACGCCTCCGCCCGCTTTCTGCCCCAATTTTAAGCGGATTTTAAGTCTTGAGTAAGCTTCTGTAACGTCTAGTTTCTTATAAAATATAATCAGTATTAAAAGATATAAAATATATAAATAATTTATATGTATTCACAAAGTTATTTGCGCACAGAATTATTTATTTATCATATGATATGAAATGATAATTATGCTAATTTTGCTCAGTAATACCATTATTTTATATACAGAGCTATTTATGTAAACAACTCATAAAGTTACTCAAAATGTAAACTGTTTTATTTCATTACATACGAGTAAGTAAACTACAGTTTTAAACCTGTTGAAAACAAAGGTGTTGAACGATATTCAAATCTGTAGTTCAATTTTAACGATGCACTTACGTATATGTACTGTGGATTTCATTTTACCATTTTGAATTATCGTCGCCATCTTTGTTGACGATCGGATGACATGGTAATCTAGAATTGAGAAAAATAGATGTTCCTCTTTCTCTTTACCTATAGTAATTAAGACAAATGTTTTTCAAAGAAATTTACATTATCATACAAGTTAAATAAGTTTACATTATCAAAAATTGTTTACATTTCGAGTAATTTTAAATGTAAACCTATCTACAGTTACAAAATATGTAATAAGCTATGTTTGCCTTAGGTCGACAAATATCCCTTACTTCTATTTCTGATGGAATTATCGTGAAATTTAATATTGTCAGCGTGAATGGTCATGAAAGTAGAAAAATATTTTGTAAAGTGAGTTAGAGATTGAAAGAAAGTTTTTTTGAATAGTATGATAGCATTATGTATCGAGACCCAAACAGGAGAAGTAGCATTTAAAAACCAGTGTTTTAACGAATGGTTGGAGACCCTTCTTACTTCCCAACAGAAGTAGAAGTCGTAATTCCCAGGTTTGATCATGATGGTTTGCTAAGATTCTCGGCTGTTAAGGTGGAGTGGAATTTTAACAAACAATAATAAATTTAATTATTAATTAATTACACTAGCAACATTAACTTTGATTACATAGGAATTAGACATGTCTTTCATTGTCTATGGATGATTTATTTTTAATTGCTAATAAGAGATATCCAGATGAGATCATCACTTTCATGAGTTTTTTTGAATGGCAATAATGGTCATTGGTGAGGTTTTTGTACCCTCATTAAAGTAGAAAAACGTTTTGATATTAATGTAAGCTTCCTTAACAACAACAACAACAGGGTTACAAGGGTAAGAAGAAAAGATTTGGGAGACGTTCATCCAGAAGAAACTCCTAGGGGATAGTCAAAACACCGCTAGTAATTTAATCGAATTTGTTATTTTTTTATTTTACTTTCCATTCCACCTTAATTCTGCTCATTCTAGCGTCTAGCGTACCATACCCTTATGCTTAGATCATTATATGTCTAGACAGGCTGTCGAAAAAAATTGCGTCTAACTGTTGGCCGTTGAGTTCCTTTTCAATACCGATGTGTGTGTCAATTGTGTTGTCGTTGTCACTATAAACGCCCGATTTACACGCACACCATGCATATTAGTCGGAAAAAATCCTCGGAGCACTCTCCATGATATATTCGATAGAGAATGCAGAGTGAAGCCACATCTCTACGTAACAACAAGGGATGGAGGGAATTGGAGATGTTTGGGCTTCTTGGATGCAAAAGTGATTCAACGCACTTGGGTCTCTCCAGTTGCAAGTATCAATGGGTGGTGGATGTCACTTACCATCAGGCAAACGGATAACCGTTTGCTCGTAAGTCCTCCTACGCACAGCATAATAAAGTTGGCCAGTTTGTTTTAGTTTTTTAGGTGCGTTGGTCAATTTTAAACATCAAACAAAAGAATGTATTTTTTGAGACGGGTTGAAACCATTGAACTCGCGACACTGCTACGCCCGCCACGTTTACACGAGATTTGAGTTTGGGTTGAAATACATTGATATTATAACTATATATAATATTAACATATATTGTGTATATCCATACAACATAGATATATATACATGTCGGAACTTTTTGAAACGAAAAAAAAAACTAAAATTTTGCCTGATATAATAAAAAAACTTCACTTCACTGAATCTAGACATATTAATGATGTAAGCAGTTATGAAAAGTTGTTGAAGTAAGGCTATTATTGAATCAATCTTTGTATATGAAAAAAATCAAGTTTGTACATGAAAAATATATAATGTAAGACCAAACAAAAATGATATTCTATTTTTCTAGACTTTAAACTTTACAATGATTTTTGTCTTTCAAAATCCGACCAGTCGAGTGTTGCAAATGACAAAAATAAGCGTGACCGGTGTTGCCATATTTAAAATTTAGGTATAGATTTATTGAAACTAGATCAGAAGTAGATTACGGTGTCTTATAACTAGACATTGAAGTAATCAACAATTGCCACATGCACAAACCTTATAAAAAGAGATTGTGTAAGACATTATATCTAAAATGCGACAAGGATCTAATGAAATGTGAGTAAAATCGGGACTACCAATGCCATATCATGCATCATCATCATCAACGACCTTTAACAGTCCTTTAACAGTCCACTACTAAAAATGGCCTCTCCTTAGAAAGAAGGTTTTGGCCTACTATACCACGCTGGCCAGACAGGTGGGTATAGCGTTTGTTTCAAGTTTTCTTTCTATTTACAATACTGTTATTGTCATGCGTAGTTTGCTCCCTTTGCAGCAACGCAGTTGTATCTCTTAAGTTCATTCCACATCAGAGAGTCTACTATGATCATGATTACTAAACGACTTACAGAATAAAACATTCAAAGCCTATAAACGGTTAATTCAATGATAAAACTGAGAGTTGCAGGTATCCATTACCGTCGGTAGTTATTTACCATCGAGTGAATGAAGCGTCTGCTCGTTTGACGTCATCTACACGTCATGTGATCCTTGTCGCAAAACATCCGTCTTCTGTGACGTATTTTTGTCACACATTTTTTAGTATATGTACATTAAATTTAGACTATGGTGTGTAGAGGTAAGGAAAACCAGCCTTGTGTATGAAAAGTGTCCAACAAATCGCGTAAGTTTGGGGGCGCTACAGTAGCATCAGGGTAAATTTATAAATAAAGCGTCATATGTTGTTAGTGTAGGATTGAGAAATAAACATTGAAAGAAAAACATTGCGTAACATTTTTTTAATAGAAAAAGAAATTAGACACTGTGTATTAGACGGCAAAAATAGTCATAATATGAGTTTTACAGTTAATAAACCTTTAACTATTTTCAGACGCTAAAAGTACTTTACCTCAACAAACTTCACTCCGTGTATAACTGCTATGTTTGTATCATTATCTTTAGGTACACTAGCGCCATTGTGGTTGGCTGTAGAACTTTTTTCTGCTGCTTATTCGTGGATACTTTCTCAGTTTAACGCCCAAACAAGGTATTTTTATAAGCAAAAAAAAAAAATAGACATTGTGTAGGTACTAGACTGCAGAAATAGTCGTAATATGAGTTTTGCAAGTAATTTACTTGTATTAACTATTTTCAGACAATAAAAGTACTTAAACTCGGCAAACTTCACTCCGTGTATAACTGTCATTACCCATTGCTACACTAGCGCCATTCTGGTCGATTTTAGAATTAATATTTGCTGCTTTTTGGTGGTCACTTATTCAGTATGCCGCCCATACAAGGTAATGCTCTATACGTCTACACTCCATAATTTAGACTTTAGTTAGAATTCGACAAAATATCAAAAGTGTATGACTATGTGTTAAATTTAAAACTATGTCTTATTGTATGTCTGTTCGTGTAAATGTTTATTGTTTTAAGTTTAGTACCCATATTTATTTAAACTTTCGAACGATTCAGAAAAGTGATATTTAGTTGAACATCCCATAACAAAATTAACAGGAGATAACGATCTCAAAGTTCTCTTTCTGAAGAATTAACTATTTCCTATTAAATATAAATAAATTTAAAACAAAAATGTTCGAATGTTTTACTTTTCTGAATAAGAAAATTGATCTCAATTTATAGTGATTTGTAATCTTTGTTATATTTTTAAAAATATATTGAGGGTAGAGGGTAAAAAAGACAGACTTATGTAGACTTGCCGTGGGGGCGCTAACGCCTCGTTACAAGTGAGCCGGCTCGATCACAGTCGAGACCACACAGAAAACTGGTGCTAAGCAACCCCACTCCCTTCCCCTTCTGGGCACAAGAGATGGCAACACACTCATGACTCTTGAGTTGCATCTGTCTATGCGGCGGTGGTAGTCACTTACCTTCAGGTGACCTGTCTGTTCGTCTGCGTTATGTAAAAAAAAAACTTTGTTGTATTTATTAAAATACGTAAAGTAATGGCTCACGGACACTCACGGCTACCACTATTCATTTTTTGACATGTGAAGTGTTGCCATATAATAATGGTAAAATAGAAACAGATATTTTTAATTTTCTGCTCGAATTCAAAGACGTGTTGCTTCATCTACAAGTCGATCATCATTGAGACTTAGATCAGCAAAGCGGCATATTTACAATAAAAAATGGAAATGTTCTTTCTTGCCTTCTACTTAATTTAAGTAATTTATTAAATGTCTGGTTTAATGTACTTCATTACCTTGTAAAAAAATATACTTATGTTGTTTATGTTTCATTGTAGTCAAATTTATTTATTAATTGTTGTAGATTATATTTTAATAATATATACTTTTCTTTCCGGGCAAAGCGCGAATTTATAAGTTCAAAAGTGAACAAAATGAATAAATCAATTCTAATAGTAAAATAAAATTGTATGGCGTTTGATTACTAGTTGCTTGACGTATTTAACTATTTATAATGCATTACAGATGAATTTGTATTACGGGTTGATTCCTTTCTAAAATAAATAATTAAAATAGTAAGATATTGATAATAGACCAAACGAACTTAATACAAACGAAGTAGGTTTTTAAAACATTATTTTTGGGGTTCCCTACTTTAAAAGGGAAAAAGGAACAGTTATAGCATCATTTCGTTAGCTACCTGTTATGATATTTTTCTCATCATCATCAACAGCCTTTAACAGTTCACTGCTGGACGTAGGCGTAGCTTACTATACCACGCTGGCCAGATGGGTTGGTATAGGGTTTGTTTCAAGTTTTCCTTCTCTTTGCAGTGCTGTTGTCCTGCGTAGTTTGCTCCCTTAGTCGTCTCTTACGACACTCACGGGATGAAAAGGGGTGGTGACACTCCGTATTCTTAATCCGTCACCATACAGACATATATTTTTCTCAGCAATGTGTTTATTATTACGATATTATTTATTTATAAAGTATGTGTGGTACACAAAACAGAACTTAGTACAATAAGGTATATCATAATCTAAAAGTTTTGTTTTAATCTAACTACGCATAGTAAGGGACCTAGAGTAAAACAAAACACATCACGATCGCAAAGGACAGTGTTGTTTGTCTACCAAAAAAAAATATTGTGCCTATAAACTTACAGAAAAATTGACTATTACGTAAAATGTATATCGATTAAATTTAAGTGTGCTCTCCAATCGGACTTAGACTACATGTTAGTTTATACGAAACGTTTCCTGCGCCGGTCAGACCTGGGTTTACCCGGTTTTTTATTATATAATTCAAATAAAATGATAAAAAATGTTGTAAACGCCAATTAGAGGGCACTATTTTCCACGTTTACCAACGCCTATCGTACAATTTCTGAAGATGAAAATATTACACATAATATTTTACTAGCAACTACCAGCTTTGCCAATAATTCGCGTTTTGCCCGGCGGTGTAGGTCATTGACATGTGTAATAAATTGTACCTTAAGACTTGGCTATGTGTAAAAATTTTGTATTTGCTTTTGTAATAAACTTTCCAATTGTAAATGTACGATTTTTCTTTATATATTTATCAGTATAGCAGATTTCTGCTCCGATTACACGTCATCATCAACACCCTTTAGCAGTCAACTGCTGGACATAGGTTTCTCCTTAGAAAGGAGGTTTTGGCCTACTATACCACGCTGGCCAGTCGGGTTGGTACAGGGTTTGTATCAAGTTTTCCTTTTTTTGGCAGTGCTGTTGTCCTTAGTCAGATCTTGATGAAAAGAGGTGGTGGCACTCCGGATTCTTAATCCGTCACCACGCGAGTAACACTGACGCCGTACTTCTACTTGGGAGAGTTAGACAACAAAGGACACGATTTGTGTTATGTTTAGGTATAAGCGCAGATAACCACTTACCAATCCTTAACCTATTTGATTAAAAAAGAATCACTGAAATCGATTCAGTCGATCGAGTGTTTTAGCAAATAAAAAGTCTTCGCCTTGTATAGTTTACATGTGTAATAAAAATATATACCAGTTTGGCCGGATATCAAATATCCCGTTAACCTCGAAGGCGGAATAACTGGTAACAGGATTTTCAGTAGAAAAATACAAATCTGTATTATTTTTTATAAAAGAAGAAACTGACAGACTCATTCACTGACTGGTCAATCAACACACAGCTAAAACCGCGCGTAAAATAATACAGGTCTAGAAGCACAAAATTTTGTACAAATGTTCCTTAGGTGACGTAGGTGAGCAAAAGGGTTTTTACAAATGTCACCCCTTTTTTTTCCGTGCGGAAATCCCCTCGGATACCACCTGTCGGTGGCATGTCGGACACGAACCGACTAAAACCGCACGCCGTCTCGGGTACTAATAGCCGGGGAACCAGGTATACCCTAGAAAGGAAGTCCCTGGTGCCAACAAATGTCACCCCTAAGGGTGACATTTGTAAATCCAAATTTGTGAATGGAATTTGATTGACATTGAAATGTGTTTCCAAATTTCCAATCCCCGGAAATGTATATGAAACTTTGTTATTTTTGGTATTAGCGTTTTGAAACTCAAAGTAAACTTAACTGTTTGCTACTCATACTTTACAAAGTCTCAAATAGCATAGAGGCCACTATTTATCAAGGCCAAATTTATTGACAAAATTGACATTTACGCGAGTGATTTTTCTGGGAGAAGATTTAATTCCGTTTAACAATGCTATCAAGAAATAAAACAGGTTAAAAAACATTAATAAAACGGTTATTATACTATATATATTAGGCTTAACGATTTTATTGAAAATATAATAACGATGTAGATGCGAAAAGCTATAAAATATGAAATCTGTCGTTTAGTGTTGGTCGCCATTTTGAATTTTGTTTCGTTTTTATATTTTACTGTATTCTTCTAGCCAAGTCCTTTTAATTGATTTTTATGTTGAGGCAGTTGAAAAAGAAAATGTAATACTCCCTGTTGTGGTGGCGGCCATCTTGGATTTGTAGTTTTACTGAATATTTTTACTTGTAACTAGCTGAGACCCGCGGTGTTACCCGCGTTTGTTGTTATAACCGCGGGCAACGCCTCGGGGCGAAGCTAGTCGAAAAAAAGTAGCCTAAGTTACTCCTTATATCATCAGCTATCTGCCAGTGAAAGTCCTGTCGAAATCGGTCCAGCCGTTCCAGAGATTACCCGGAACAAACAGACAGACAGACAGTCACAGAAAAGCGGTGTTCTTAGTGAGTGAAATTACCTGACGCCGACTACGCATTTATGTCTCTCGATTGCAGGTGTTCATAGGCGGCGATGGTCAGCCACTTACCATCGGGGCATCAGATGACACGTCTTCTCGTTCCTCTATATCACAAATTATGTTACATCGACCCTGGACTGCACCAAACGGAAGGCAGGAGCATAACTTGGTTATAGTTGTAACCGCAAAATTCTGTATAATTACTTTTAATATTATGTTATCGATAGAAAGAGCAAATTTACACAAACAGACTGATAATTAAATTAACCCGTCCCTGATCGCTTACCCATCACACTTGCTGCATTGCTGCGTTGAATGGCAACGGGCAACCTTTGCACTAGGAACGAAGCGGAGCGGAGCACCTTTGACTTCTGTGAATTTTCGACCATTTTATAAATTTCTTAGTAACAGCTTCCAGTTGCCCACGGTCTCCACCGCCACAGGAACGAAATGGTAAAACTGCTGTGTATACTCATATGTATGTAATCACTGAATTACAAATGTGATTTATTGGTGTTGAATGAATGTTTAGCATTCCAGTAAGTAATACGGAAATATATATAAAAATCAATTATAAATTCAATCAACTCCGTGGTTTAGCTGGTTTCATTACAACCATGAAATTTGAACACGCATAGTGAAATTTGCGTTTTAAAATGAATGAAATCAATTACTTTGCTTGCAAGAAAGAAATTGTTTTTTAATACAGATTAATTATAAAAAAATGAATCCGATGTTGATAGATTTAAATATAATATTTGTGTTTGTAATATCTGGTGAGTTTTTTTTTTAATTGACATTTAATTATTTCAATTTTTAATGTCCGGATGATTTGTATGATTGAAACAGGTATTGAACTAAAGTGAATAAAACGCAGTTATGATGAAACTAAATAGATATGGTTATATTGGTTGTATAGTTTAAAAAATATGCTTTTGTTTCTAACAGAGGCAAGTAATTTGATATTATAATGTCTGGATAATGTCAACATATGCGCACATGCGTGCAGCATAGGACGAGTTTTAGTGGTGAACCGTGGGGGACGGCCTATGTCCAGCAGTGGGCGTCTTTCGGCTGAGATGATAATGATAATTGTCAGCGAAATTCTTCTCAATTCAAGCAACCTAAACTACACAGTCACAAAACGAGACACGCACTCGTGACTCCTGAATTGCAGATGTCCATGGGAGACATAACACAACACTGTGAAACTTTGCAAGCACACGCAGACGATATTATTTCTAGAACAAAACATTACAGGCTACGGAACCCCTCAGAGGTATCACTCCGATCGAGCCCTCCCATTTGTACCGAAGCATCCTCACAAGCTGTCCCACGGGTTATCGGTTATTGGATTCCATGTGTTGAGTTTAGTCCCCCTCCCCCCTTCCTAAGAACTACGGAGGGGGAGGGAGTTGGACCTTGAATAGTGAAAAGCAATGACAGAACTGCTTAAAACCAGTTTTCTGTGGCCATGGTTTCACTGATCAAGCCGTTAAAGTATCTGATAAATGTATTTATTTGTCTACTTTATTTTTCAGTACAATTTTCGAACTCACTAAATGTGTTTGTACTAGATACAAAAGGTCACATAGCCAAACTCAATGAACCATTTCACATAAATGAAGAGCAAGCGCCCAAATACATGAGAGACAGATTCGAGAGACAACTAGCCGAGCTCCTGATATCTAAACAACAGCCGCATAAAAATTTAGAAAGAAATTTCGCAAATAGTAAGGATAATTTAGCAAACACATTAGGTGCATCTAAACCTAAACACAGTATAGTTATATTTAGCAATGGAAGGTATACTCTGGATTTGGATAAATTAGATTTCAAAAAAGCGTTAAATGAATCAATTATAAATGACAACGATTGTGAATCCTTTGATTCAGAGGAATGTTTTGAGCAGTTCTATGAAACTGAGAACAATACACAAGAATCTGATGGTTTACCTGGCAAACCATCATCAAACAAGATCGATTCGTTACGTAAAAATATTGAAAAATCGAATGCAGACCAAGATTCAAGTTCCTCAGAGTATATTACTATCTTAAGACATGGAAAAAACAGTATTGTGAGACGATTTAAAATTATAAATAACAGCAGTAAGAAAAAAAGGAAAAAAGTGTGGTCTTCAGATACTGATAGCAGTCAAAGTTCCGAAGAAGCTGCAAAAAAGATAAAGAAGAAATATTATAAATCTAGTTATGAAGAAGACAGTTCAATGTCTAGCAAAGAAGTTCATAATAGTTTGTCTGATGAAAAGAAGAAAGACTCATATGAAGAATCTCCCGAGGAGGATGAAGATGAGGTATACCTCCAGGGTAACATATTGGTACCAATGAAGCATAGAAATGATTATGATAAAACGAAAAGAAGTCACCATAAGAATTTAGACGCCAGAAGAAGACTGCCTCACTTTTTGCCCAAACGATACCACTGGAACCCTAATGAAATTAAACATTTAGGTTATTTCTGGTACAACGGGCCTAGAGGGAGATATCCAGAAGCAGTACCTCTGTAAAAAGTACTAAGACTTGTCAAAGTAAAAAAATGCTCACCTAAAAAGTACCAAGTGTTGGCGTGTTAAATGTTAAAAGTTCTGCGTCTTGAAATCACTACAATATGTTTGGCACATATTTTTTTAGATTAAACAAATTAAAAAAACGATGTCATAGACAAAACAATAAAAAATTGAATAGATATGAAAATTGTTTATGGCGTTGCATATTTTGGTAAAATATTCAATATGTTATTTTGTGGGTGATATATATTCTTATAATAAAAGTGTCTAGTTGAAATCGGTAAGAATCGTGCAAGAGCCTAACTAAGTAGCGTTTGCACAATAATTATAGATCTCTTCAGTTGTTGCCTTAGCCAGTGCGGGGCCCTGGATAAGTACTTCATTGCGAGGCCCCGGGTGGGTAGTTCACTGCGTAGCCCCGGGCGTATAGTTCATTGCGGGCCCCAGACTGGTAGTTCATTGCGTGGTCCTTGTCTGTGTGAAATTGAAAGTTATAAAAAAATGCAACGCAACTCATACTGACACTCGAATTTAAAAGCATAAGCCGACGGCAGTTGACACTGAGAATGATTGTCAAAATGACATACGGAAATCCTCGAACGTAAATCGTAAACACCGCGATAACTACCATGTCTACCATGCAAGAGAGCGCGAGTAACGTGACATGACCTTAAATTCAAATATTTTCTACTTGAGTTGTTGCGCGAGTGCGCAAGGTCCCGGTTGCCCTGCTCAGTTTTGACAGAAATGGTAGAAAAGTAGTTAATGTAATGGTAGAAAAGTGGGGTGAGTGGTGGTAGAAAAGGGATAATTATTATATGGCAATAAAACACATCCGTTAATCATTCACAAATTGTATTATTATATAAAGATTTATGTGCTTAAAAATAAATTAGATTTTCTGTCACAATTCTTTTATACTATCTTTTGAAGCATTTATTGCGACTGTTTATTTGAGAGCAATTATTTTTATTTTTATTTAATTCTTATAATAATATATCACTCACTAGCTGTTCCATTCGCTCTTAATTACTGCACCGCTACCTGGAAGTCATTTTGAAATTCTTTGTCAAGCAGACTTACTACTTGCAGCACTTGGGGAAATATTATACCTAATATACGAGTAATATCAATCAAATTCATTCTCATAAATCTATACAGTGAACCCGCTTAATACGATCACGCTTATTAGTGTTTTCCGTTAAGTACGCCATTTTAAGTCAGTCCCTCGAATTTAAAGTATGTTTTCATATATTTTATCGCGGTTATTACAATTTCTCACAAAATACGCCATTTAATATAAGTCTAGAATTCGAGGCTTGTTTTCATATTTTTTATAACGCTTAATAAGATTTTTGTCATCCCGTTTAATACGCTAACGCGATAATGCAGCAGTTGTTTTGAACATCTTATGCTTAAGCTAGAAAATATCTTTAACAAACCATTATAGGCGTATGTAGAGTGTTATCTTTGAACGTTTCGATGCATTTTTTTTATGTATGAGTAGCGCTATAACCAGGGTCTACGATTCTTAGTAACATTTTTATTTGTCGAGTGGGTCTAAGCTTAGGTACATAAAACGTTTTATTTAACCTATATAATAACCATTCTATATTAAAACGCGTTTTTAGTCACTTTAAAATCGTTTCAAACGGGTTTTATTGTATTTTAAATAACATATAACGTGGTACCTAAGGCAGTTCGTGTATATGTTACGTATTGAAAAACCTTAGCATAGACGTATATTCTTATTGTATTGGTAGTATTTTGTAATATAATTATGAAAGCTACTTATTAATTTCCCATATATTGCTGATTTATTATAATTATCACGGACCTATACCTATAGAAAAATAAAATGTAATGTGGGTATTTAAAGAATATATTCTACAACCAAGTATCTGAAAAATAATAGTTTACATAATGTGGGCGTAATGTGGGTTAGGCAAACCATGAGATTCTTAAAAATAATGGCACGGAGAAAATTTGTTAAAGAAATAAACACAATAAAATCTTTTGAAAACACAGTTCCCAAAAACTTTTAAGATTTTCATTTAGATATTGCAGTCAATTAAATATACTTACCCAATACATAATTCTTGCAATTATGATTAAAACATACCCAATAAACTTTTATTTAAATAGGCATTACCAACTTGAATGTGTCAAAATGATGATTTATTGTAATAAACTATAGTAATAATAATTATGAAAATGTAATCCACTTCAGGGGTGGTTTTTTCTTTAAATTAAAATGACACCAAACGGGTACCTCAATAAAAGTCTAAGTTCTGAGGTTACAAACTTTAAAAAATACAATCGAATAGAGAATCACCATTTTTGGCGGGTAAATTTACAGACAGTTTAAAAAGTAATAAAAAGCAAAATAATGTTCAAAATAATATTATATTCACTGAGAATAACAACGAAAAATATTAACATAATAATAATATAATTAGAATAAAATTCAATTAAAATATCATATGTACCTATTACAATTATTATATTTGAAGGTTAGAATATTTATATAATTTTATTTTTGTAATATCACTTTCTTTTAAATCTCTGATTTGCTCATTGTTCTGATTGGCTTAAACGAATACGTAGGTGGTATCACTCTTTAAAAAATATCGGGGGTAAACGTGCAGACGGTCCTCTAATGGTAAGTGGCTACCGTTGCCCATGACCGCCTGTAACTCAAAAAATAAGTGCGATGCCGCCTAGGGATTGAATAATATTACAATCACATGTGATAAATCATATTATTTATAAATCATATCCTCACAACTATGAGTGATTTATAAAACCACTACTACTTAATTATTATTATTACGCTAGCGCAAGACTTGCGATAGGCCTAAAAAAAGGAAGGTCGTAATCTTTCATAAAAATAATTTTAATTTATTTTAATGTCATTTATATTTGACTTTAACTAAATCACAATAACATGTGAAATCGCTGTGACTGTAACCAATTATTTTATAAAAAGAATATGATTTAAAAATAGCAATAATTTCGATGTCTAGTGCCGCCCCTTTGAGTGTACCTTTGCCAAATTGGGGAAGGGGAGATTTTTGTGATAGCATGCTATTTTCAAGTCACACTGCTATCTGTTTTAGAGTAATCTACATGCAATGATTGTCCAATCATAAATAAGCAAACAAAAGTCATTCGTACTAATAAAATTTTTGACTTTTTAAGTCTAAAGCCAATAAAATTCTAACCTTCAAAACTAAAATAACAAAAAATACCTACAAAAAAAAACAGGAATAATACTTAAAGATGGCAATATCGTATTTTAGTGGAACTAACGATATTAAGATTTTTTGATTGGCAACATTTTTTAATTTCTAATAATGCGTTCACACCGCAACTTTTTTTTGTTTTTGATTATTATCGAATCTTAGTATACTTACTAAGCAACACTTTAAACTCACAAAACGAGACGTTACAAAAAAAATGCGCTGTGAACGCACCTGAAGACGCAATTGTGGCAATATTGAGATTGATTACCAATTTAAAAATTATAAATCAAATACTATTGTAACAAGCAACTAAAGTTCCAAAATCGAATATCAACGAGTTGAATTCGTTGAAAACTCTAATTCACTGTGGATGTGGACTTAATTTACACTTGTGGATTTTAATATTAAGGCAAAGCAGATGGAAAGTGATGTAACCTGCACCTAGTATTCACTAACCAGCTTATTTCTGACATTCCTTGTAACAGTCTGAAAGCCGTGATAATTCTATACATTATTAAAAAAAAAGATGTATTGTGATCATACAACATGGAAAATCTCACACATTTGCTTCAACAAAATTCTCACACAGTTAAAACCCATATTATTTGATCATGAGAAATAAATAATTCTAAAATATTAATCATTAAAGCCCTCTTTGATCCTCCACCATGAAACAACTTGACCCCCTAACCTCCTCGTATTATTTTCATCACGTGTTTATTTCGGGGATACCTAACGGAAGCTCCGTTTCAAAGTATGCCCGCCGCGTCGATGTTAGACGTCACACCTTAGAATCGCAATTTAAACGGGATTCTAGTCAGGTATACGTGAAATAAATATCAATAAAGATGACTACAATACTTTATATTGTAGATAATGTACTCTACATGGAATAGCGCACAGTTTATTTAGCAGAATCGGTAATAAAAAAGGTTATAAACTGATAATTAGCTGTTTTGGGTAAATTTAAGGCTTCAAGCCATTTAATATATGTTCTATTCATGTAAGCTGAGTTCTATCTAAACCTTATATAAAGTAGGAAATTAATGAAATGTTTACATTGTTAATTTTCTTCTCAAGTCTAATTAAAACCAGAAATTTTATAAATCTCTTAAAATCAAATGGAAATTTCGAAATTAATGGTGTTTATTTTCAAATGCTTCGTTTTAAAAACAATATTTTAATAAAATTACTCATAAATAAAAATGATCACGGCGAAAATTAATGACGCAATTAAAATAAGAATTAAAAATTACAGTCGTCCAGACTTATTTGAGCCACAGGTAAAAAAATATGAATTCAATTTAAAAAAAATGAAAATTACTAATAAACATTATAACAGAAATTGGGTCTTGTTTGACAACTTTGGTGTTTTTACATGTATTTTTAAACATGTCAGCTTTTATTAATCATATACTCAGTTACAAAATATATTTCTATTAATAATTATTAACTGAATCCCCTTATGATTACACCTCATGATGTTTAAAACACATATTTATAAAAAAAACAACGTTATATTATCTAAGAATTCTCACGTCGCGTCCTGACTGTTGCCATTTTTCTAAAATTTCATAGCAATCAAAGCAATTAATGACTTTTCAAAATACATTCTAAATAATAATATATCTGTTTACGGCACTTATATTTTAGCCCCAGGAATCTCGAAGATGTCAGCAGATTTTTTTAATTAGTTCCACGAAAACTCGAGAGATGGCAATAGCGTTCTTATGATATTCAGCCTATAAATTAGTTACATGGGATCACGATAGATGGCGGTAGTTGCTTAATATTATTTTGTTACATAGCTTTGAGTAATGAACTTAAAACATAGGTGACTGGTATATAGTGTTTTATGACTAATTAAACCCTTCTAGTCTTAATTATATGAATTCGAATAAGTTTGAGAGCGTCCACTCCAACAATATTTTGAACAGTCGAGTCAAATATATTCCTTTGCATTAAATATCAAAATGACACGTTCTATAGGACAAGTTGCGTGTGTGAAATAACAATTTGTGACGTCATTTATTGCTATTTCCAAATAGTTAACTTGTAATATTTAGTGTCTTTATCGAGACATTTCATTTAGAATCTACTTATCTACATAAAGCAATTTATTTTATACGCCACTTTGATATTTGTAGGACAAATTATGTTACAGTTACTGCTTCACTTCTAAGGGCGTAGTGATGATTTTATAGTTTATGTTATTTTTCAATAAATAGATTCAAAACAAAAATAATAATTTGAATCTGACTGTTGGTTTTATAGACTTGATGCAAGTGAACCCCCGCTTTAATATTTTTTTAACAAACAATTATTAAGTATAAACAATTATTAAGTAGATTTTATATAAATGAAGGTATCTATATACAGAGCTAATGACTTTTCAGTTTCATTTTATAAATATATATATCCCTTCCATAATGTTCGAATCATTCGAAATGAAGCTATAACGGCCGGCGCCATCTTGTTGACGTGTTTTCAACAAGATGACGCCGGCCGCCATTTGGTGAACATATTATCTTGAAAATAGATAACTATTTATTTATATCTTACTTAAAAAGTCTTAGTTTTTTTTAAATACGTACATCTATGATGTTTTTTTTATGATGATTATTTATAAGGAAAATATGGCTAATATAGTTCTGATGTTAAGTAGGTTTTACAGTTTATTTATACTACCGCCATTAAATAAAATAATTATATTAATAAATGGTCAATGAAAGATTAACTGAAATCGTAAACAGCGAAGATTATTAATGTTTCACAATTATGTTTTCATCAAACAATTTCTTTACATATTTAATTTAAAATTAACTTTACAACTATAATAAGATAATGAGAGGTATATTTATGTATTTTTTTTAGGTTTAATGTTAAACAAATGAAAGGAATCTATTAAGTAAATATGACTAATTCTGCAAAAAATTGTAATATTTTTATATTTGCAACAACCAAATATTTTCTATTGAATTTTAAGGGACCAACCATAAATTACGTCACACGCTAAAGACCTGAAAATCAACGAGGCATGACGTTTTTTTGATAGGAAACGATATATTGGCGATGATCCAGCTAGGTAAACTCATCAGCTGTGTTCCCAGGTGCAGGTGTGTCGCTAGTCAGCGCTTTGTTTATTTTGTATATTAATAAAGCGCTGTAGGTGAATACACTTTGAAATGCTGTTTCGACTCTAGTGAGATTAAATATGTTTATATATTCTGTACGTTGACTAGTGACATGAGGCCCCATACCTCTCCTTCCTCCTCTGTCGGGCCGAGGTCAGGCAGCAGGCAGCCTCACGGGCCTCTTTTTTGTTATGGTCGATTTTGCAGTTGAGAAATATTTTGGAGATGCTTCGTATATTGTGACGGAGCTCGGGGCCGAGGCCGCCCAAGAGTACATATTATTATTTGTGCACATAACTATATTGATTAATTGTATTTATTGCATTTATGAGTCGTTTATGTGAACAATAATTTATATTGAAGAGTTATAAACTTGTATAGATAAGTCCTGAACTGGAAAACGCGCCCCACAAGGTGGTCAGTCAACCTGGTGAAGGCCGCGGGAAGCCGTATGATTCGGGCAGCACGGGACCGGTTGTTGTGGCGAACCTCGGGGGAGGCCTATGTTATGCAGTGGACGCCTTTCGGCTGTGATGATGAGGATAGATAAGTCCAGATACGTCACACCAGGGTAAGGTGGTATCATGATTATCGCTTAACGTAATTTGTGGTTAATCCCTTAAGAGTGATTTACTTGGCTTCTGAATTAAGGAACATATTCAACAACAGTGCATTAAATAATTAGCCGATAATATCAAGTAAACTACATAAAAAAATATTTATTTTTACGCCACATTTATATCGATCTCTTTCGCACGCATTATAAGGCTAACTGAGAATAGGACAGAGTTACCTTATTGTAGTTGTAAAGCATTAAAAAAGCCCAATTCAATTCAAGTTACGGATCATTATCGAAATATAAACAGATACAAACCCGTATATTTTTTTATTTTATTTTTTTATTTATAACAAGGTTTAATTTTGACCAATAAGGTAGTAAACAAGGGAACTAATTTAATTACATATAATTTATATGTAATAATAATTCATTCGATATTTTAGCCCGAAAACTGACCAAAAATCAAGGTTTACATACAACTTACGATCAAAACTGCACCATTTAATCACACATGCAAAAATACTTGAATTTTACAGGAAAATTTAAACTATATATTTTTTAACTGGCAACTCAGTCTTTTTGGTAGAATATCCAGTTCAGTAACGCTTGCAACACCATCGCTAGGACAAAACCACCGAAGAGATCCCACGAATGTGACGTACTGGGTATCCTGCCTATATTGTGTTGTCTGGATGTGGTAGCTGTTCTTTGCCCTTCGCTGATTGCTTCAACTGTCTTCGATAGTCTTTCAATTGCCAACGTCTGGTCTCTTAAGGCCGAATCGATGGCATACAGTGTTTGTTTCAAGTTACGTCTGGAAAATTAATTAATTAAATAAGTTTCTGTATTAAAATAATTTTTTAAAGGCTTTTATATAGGTACTATAAAATAAAATGAAACAAAGACGGAATATATTATATACATATATATATATGTAATGAAATGAATGACATTTCATTAATTTGAATTTCGCACATCGAAGTGACATGTGAACTATGATTCAATGGCAGATGACGCTTAGATTATTTTGTGCATTTTATGGATATAAAAACTTGTAGAGAGATAAACCGAAGGACACTATTGAGGAAGCGATATTAGTGAACTTTAAATGTCGTTTCTTTGTATTTTCAGGTGAGATAGAAGTGTAATTGTCATAACTTGATAATTGTTGTAATATTGTAAAGGCGTATTAAATAAAACAGAACTTTGTATTTTCAGAGAAACAATTTATGGTTTATTTTGAAGATCCTCAATAATATACCTTATAAAACGACATTTTAAGTTCACTAATATCACTTCCTCAATCGTATCCTTCGGTTTATCTCTCTACAAGTTTTTATATCAATAAAATGCACAAAATAATCTAAGCGTCATCTGCCATTGAATCATAGTTCACATGTCACTTCGATGTGCGAAATTCAAATTAATGAAATGTCACTCATTTCATTACATATATTTCTAACTCAAAAAAAGTGGATCGATTTTTATGATATTTGATTTTTGTATTTGTGTCCAGTAAAATAAAAATTAAATTATTTAGTCGCGGAAAAAAAACATGATAAAAAAAAACAGCGGCAGTCCGGGAGTGCCGACAGAAGTGAAACGGAGCGGTGAAGTGTAAACGGAGCCAATATATGTAGACACTTATATGCAGAGGTGTCGGTAACGATAACAGTGTCGCAGGTGAAACTGTCAGGAACTCCTAGTGTAATATAAAATTACGTATTTTGCACTATTTACCTTACTCACTCGATGTAAATAATAATCTAATTATATCAGAACGTTCATAACTTGTCAGTATCTGTATACTTGAATTTAGTAACTATGTTAGATCATGGAATTGGCATAAGTAAGTATTTGTAGGACTGTCATGTCTGTCTGCAATGACACTCGCGAGACGGTTAGGACTACCATGTATCCTCTGCAGCAGTGACACCGCTCGCTTTCGCCAAATTGCTGCAAAAGCCGTCTGTAGGAGCATTGCCAAACATACCAGAAGCACTGCACCACCGTGGCAGCCCTAACAACATCCTGAATGCTTAACAAAGTTTTTCTGTGAGGCCGTGAATATCACTCCGGCCGAGCCGGGCCCATTTGTGACGAAGTACAACTCTCCCAGGGCAAAATTTTTATCCTATCCTACACATTATTACGTTAACAACATTATAAAACTATTTTGGATTACTTTTACAAATAGCGGTTCTTATATTAACACCACCGAATACATTTAATGTATGAATTTAAAATATGGGAATCGAACAATTTAAAATGCTTATTACTTAATGAACTAAAAATGGCTAAATCTATGCTAATACTATCAATTCGAAAACTTTGAATGGATGGATATCTGTTCTTCAATTACGCCAGAACGGCTTAACGGAATTGGATGAAATTTAGTACAGAGATAGATTATAGTCCGGAGTAGGACATAGGATATTTTTCTTGTCCAACAAGGGAAGCTAGTACCTTTATGTTGGCTGTAATGAGCTACCATTTGATGAGTTTTTACTGATATTACTATCCTACTATACTTTTTAACTATACCAGGTATAAACAACTCCTACGCTGTACGTACACAGAACTTCGACGAGGACTTCGGTGCTCGACAGGTACATTAGTTACCGAAGGTAACACATCCCTGCGGAAATGCTTACGTAATCATTGTGACGTCAAAAACAAATTTTTTTGGTGGTTTAGGTAGTAAACGAGCAGACGGGTCACCCAACCCGGGAGGGGTAGGGTTCCTTGGGCCTCCGGTAACCGCGTTCACTTAGCTAATCACATACCGGTTGAACCGGTGAATATGTGACGAAATATGCCCACGGAAATACGGTGCTAGAATTAACTGTGGGCTTGATTGTGGAACCAAACCATATTTTCCTAAACTAAGAGCTAACAGAACCGTGGCAACTGCTTTGTACCGATATTGATGGCAAGTTAAGCCAGTTTGGGGGCGTTAAGAAGTAATTTTTTTATCAGATAGGCGAGTTGAATGATTTTTGAGACTGGTAAGACCTGGTTCTTGTGAGACCTAAAGGCTTGGTTGTGAGTATAGCTTAAATACTATAGTCTAAGTTTAAGAATAGTGACGCATCGATGAGGTCCAGTCCCCTGACCAATTAGGTTCCACATCGTACGAAAGCTTGGAACTGATTGGTTCAGTAAGCGGAACTTGATCGATGTGTCACTATTTTATTAACGCGAATGGGTATTTATTGGGATTTACAAAAAAGGTCTGCTAACGCTTTTCGGACCTTTCTTTGAAATTTTGGGGGTCTAAAAAGGTACCTAGTTTTTATACACTTACGTGGAAGTCTTGGACCGTCGCGCCAGTTCGTCGTGGCTATCAGAATCCGAAGGTCTGGAGATTTCTCTTCTCGTTTCTATCGATGGTCTCCCGCTGACAGGACTCTCCATAAGAGACTTGATAACAAAATCTTCTTCATATTCTATTACTTCATCCCTTGCCATGGACTGTTAAGAAAAATAATAAATAATTAAAAATATGTTCATAGGTCGTTACAACTTGAATTGTCATTGCATAGACTTACAATAACAGAACACACTTACATGTACTTGACTTTTGACAAACCTAAATTTTTTTATATTTGACAGCCCTGTTGGTCTAGTGGTTATTGACCCTGACTGCTAAGCCGGAGGTTGTGGCTTCGATTCCCACCCAGGACAAATAATTGTGTGATGAGCACAATCATTTGTTGTGTGTCCCAGACACAACAATATGTAATTTATCTATAATATGCATGTATTTAGAAATATATAAGTATGTTTATCAGCAGTCTGATTACATTAGCACAGGCTCTGCCTAGTTTGGGACCAGACTGCCGTGTGTGAGATGTTTGAGGTTATTCATCATCATCACATCAACAGCCTATAATAGTCCACGGCTGGACATAAGCCTCTTCTTAGAAAGGAGGTTTTGGCCTACTATACCACGCTGGCCAGACGGGTTGGTATAAAGTTTGTGTCAAGTTTTCCTTCTCTCTGCACTGCTGCGTAGTATTTTCCCTTAGTCGGCTCTTACGACACCCACGGGATGAATAAGGGTGGTGACACTCTGTATTCTTAATCCGTCACACAAAAGTGTCATTATTAAAATCAAATAAATTCACATTTATTTAACTTGCCTAGCATTGACATGGTTGTACTTCCATCCCTGGTCCACCATTCCTGTAATAAAAATAATAATAAAAAACCACTTCTATACAAAGTTGGGCTATGCCTCTACCATAATCTATACATATAAAAAAAACGGCGCGAGGGTCTATGGACCAACGGTCGGAAAGAAACTTCCTTTCGCTTTTTGGTAGACGTTTGCTATACAGTAATTATAATTTATATTATAAAATATCTAGTTAATAGAGTTTAATTGAAAGTTTTTATGATAAAATATATTATTATGTATAAAATATATACGGCTAAATTAAACTCTTAAGTTTTTTTCAATTCAATTAAGTTATCTCGGTGCGCGGTAGAGCTGTGTGCGACGATGTATATAGTTTATACACGGCTCTTATACCTATAGCAAAAAAGTGTCGGAAAAAAGTCTTATTACACATTTTTCGGTCGCGCTCCAATCCGCTCGAAGCGTCAAACGCGCGATAAGGAACTTCGTTCCAATTAAATGCCTTGACTGACTGATTTATCAACGCAGAATCCAAACTGCTGGGGCTACAAACTTGGAAATTCATTATTCTTGGAAGCTCATCATTTTCAAAGTTAGAAATATGAATCTATACAAATAAATAAAACTGAAGTGTCTGTTTGTAATGTCAAAATAATAGGTTTTTTCATGCTTACACGGTTATTTGCACGATACCTATGCCTAAAAACCAGTTTAAATATTTTAGGTTATACGCACTGTGTAAACTGAATTGTACTGTATTGCGTTTGATAGAAAGCCGCTTCTTTAAAAATCATTTTACTTAGTGGAATTTTTGTACTATTATGTGTGCGTATGTGTGTGTGTGTGTGTGTGTGTGTGTGTGTGTGTGTGTGTGTGTGTGTGTGTGACTAGGTACATTTAGCACATTGCAAGGGAACCATCATCATTATCAATATATCAGCCGAAAAATGTCCACTGCTTGAAAACTGTCCACAACAGCCGGTACTGGGGACAGTATTAAAATATAATTTCAAAAATACGTATCCATATCACCTTCAGGGGCAGTGGAATGCAGATCCTTGTGGAAGAACCTCGGCACCCAGGGAGCCACCATGTTCCTCGCACGAGCGCGCTGCGCCTCTTCTATTATTGTCTTTTGTTCTGTCGCCGCTATCTGTGGGAGAAGAATAAAAGCATTTTTTTAACACGCTTTTATTAGCAACGTAAGGGAATCTTCTAACGTGATTTTGACCCACTTCAAATCGAATTAAATTGAAACTTTGCACACTTATCAAGGACCGATGACAATACAATAATTTAAATATTTTGTCTGTCCCAGTATTCTGATCATGAACCTCAGGATTACCGGCTTTTTCCATGCCTAAAAATTGTTGTGTCTTTTGCAACGTACTAAGGCGTGTGCTGAAGCATATGTGATAATCTTACTTGTTACTTTTTTAGTCTTAATTGGATAATAATCATCATTAATGACTAAAAAAGGAAGGACTAAAAATTATAGTATGAAAAAACACGCTTTTGTTAGCTACATAAGCTTGTTTTTGTTTTGTTTTTTTTTAACGCTTTTAGTTCGGCTAGCTACAAGTTCGAGCACTGTATAGATTCGTAAGTTTTTGGAAGAAACGTAAATTGACCGCTTGAAAATCGATTCAAAGCCGTTATCCAGTATGCTGTTGCAACCCGAATAAAAGACTCAAAAGAGATGATATGGTCATTTACTGAGGGAGAAGGAGCTGTGGCTCTACCTCGCAAAACCCCAGTCTCTTGCAACTTGCCGTACGCTACATAGTATAGTCTAGCTTGGCAAAGGATCGCAGGTTTTAGGAAAACAATTGTTAGCAGCCTTGGCTGTTCTTGGAAGCCAAGCTATCAGCCAAGTGGCTATCGTTTCTAGGTCTCAAAATATGGCTGTTAATCCCCCCTGTGCCTTCTTCTTCTTCTAGGCAACAGATGTGAAATATAGAGTATGCCTTATTTTCCATCTGATTAATGATGGTAGGCGCTCACCACAACTAATGAACAATTGTAAGCAGTTCTCATACACCACTGAGCTCTTTAAAAACTATAACAACTTTTTACTCTTTTCATAAACGGTCACCCATCTAAAAAAATGCCTATGATAACATTGCTTAAGCGTATAGTTCCATATTTTTTCATAATATTGTACGTACCTGGTCATCATTTGCTATTGCTTCTGAAACTTTAATCCAAAGCTTCTGCGATTCGTACTCTAACTGATTATCTATCGACAACAGGAATCGAGGGAGACGCTGCTCTTTGAGGAGTGTCACGTCCATTAGGTTGGATTCCTCCTACAAAAAAAAAAATAACACATGAAAAATATTTGATACTAGCTGACCCGCGCAACTTCGTCTGCGTCTCTCAATAGTAATAAATTTTCTCCGTTTTGAAACATTCTTCATTGGTGCTCCGCTCCTATTGGTCTTAGCGTGATGATATATAGCCTATAGCCTTCCTCGATAAATGGGCTATCTAACACTGAAAGAACTTTTCCAATCGGACCTGTAGTTCCTGAGATTAGCGCGTTCAAACAAACAAACTCTTCAGCTTTATAATATTAGTATAGATAAATAAAATTAGAGATTATTGTGCTGTTCAACAAAATCAATATTGAAACCAACTACTCCGTTATGGAATCCTAAATTCCATATGTTTGAGTTTAATGGATCAACAAAAAACACAGTAAAATAGACTTCATTAACGTTAAACAAATTATAGAAAAAAAACGTTATTTTTCGTTTGGCGTACAAATATTCTTTGTTTAAAAATGTGTATAAAAGTTACTCACCCCTGTTTTCTTATCCTTGATATCCACTTTGCCGTCCCAATAGCCGTCTAATGTGGCAATAGTGTCTTTGCCACGCTTTATTCTGCCCGATATCGCATTTGTCTGATCAGCACTGCTTAGAAACGACTGGAAAGTAAAAGAGTAAACAATATATTAACTGTTTCAAAGAAGATAGCACTCTCTATCTGTTTCACTGTGATTGTGTCTCGAAGCTTAAAGAAGGTATAGCATAATACATTCTATATGCTACTAGCGATCCGCCCTGGCTTCGCACGGGTGCAATGTAGATACTACTGATACTTATAAGTGTGGAGTAATGAATTATACTATTATTATGACTACAGGACATCTTTATATGAAATAGCCCTCCGCTGCCACCCAGGACGGACGTACAGCCCGACGCGACGACAGCCACTTTACCCCCGCATTTTAAATCTCTGCTTTCTAGCATGATTATTCATTTTGATCTACATTAAACACACAACGTATTTAATTGGATAAGAAATAACATTGTATTGTTATAAAAATGGTTACTGTGGGTTATCTTTAGATTATAGACACACATTCGAGCACTTTCTTTTAAATAAATTTTAAATTATACAATTCCCTGGTATAATATTTTGATTTACCCTTTTTTTTGTCACATCAACAGCCTTTAACAGTCCACCGCTGGACATATGCCTCTCCTCAGAAAGGAGGTTGAAAAAAAAGACAGTACTAATACTATTCATTACGAGAAAGACATACCACTTAACTGTTTGACCCTGGTGAAGGGGTGTTTATTTAAAAATCTTACTCACCCTTAATTTAAATTCCACATCGGCATGATAACCGGTGTCCGGACACATTACATGTACCTGAAAAAAAAAAGAATAATATCCTTAAAAAATAAAACGACTGCACGTATGGCGTACTGGTTTAATCGGTCACCACGCCTTTTCCGATCCCCACACGGGACAACACTGCATGATACTCAAATTGTTGTACTGAGTCTGTTTGTAAATGTTTGTAAATTCCTCCGCGACACAGGATATATTCCTAGTGCGGCAGTTGTCTTAATATTCAATCTTCAATAATCTTGATAAATATATGTTACTAAATATATGCTAGTAGAGGATACAATAAATCAATATTATAATTATACGAGGGTGCGTTTTTAAGTTCGCGGAATGAGACGGTTGAAGGGGGATGTTAGGCTCATTAGAATCGTCACGTGTTCAGTGACTCATAATTAGTATAAATACCAGGTTTCATTGTTATTAGACAATTAGTCTTTAAGTTATCGTCAACCAAGCAACATAATCGAGAGTGAAAAGTGAAACATGGAAAAAATCGAATATCGTGCCGTTATAAAGTTCCTTACCAAGCAAGGAAAATCAGTTGCGACCATAATGAATGAGATGTCATTGGTTTACGGCGACTCTTGTCCAGGAAAAACCATGGTGTACAAATGGCACAGTTTATTTAAACAAGGAAGGGAATCCCTTGAAGACGACCCGAGGCCGGGCAGGAGCATCGAGGTGATCACGCCAGAACTTATCCAAAAAGTCGAAAAATTGTACTCGACGATGCTCGACTAAAGAAGAAACAACTCCCAGAAATGGTTGGAGTATCTGATACAACCATTTTTGGAATTCTGCACGATCATTTTGGCATGACAAAGGTCAGTGCAAGATGGGTGCCGAGAATGCTCACGCCGACGCAAAAACAACAGCGCGTAGAGTGTTCACGTACATTTTTAGACCTTTGTAATGAAGACAACGATGCTGTATTGAGTAGAACTGTTACTGGAGACGAAACTTGGGTTCATCATTATGAACCTGAATCGAAACAAGACTCCATGCAGTGGCATAAAAAGGGCACAGCACCTCCCAAGAAGTTTAAGGTGTCACAGTCAGCAGGGAAACTCATGGCAACGGTCTTGTGGGACTCAGAAGGAATATTATTGATCGATTATAAAGATAAAGGTGTTTCTATAACCGGAGAATACTACGCTTCAATATTAGAGCGACTCAAAGAAGTCATTAAAGAGAAAAGACGGGGAAAATTGACAAAAGGTGTGTTGTTTTTGCACGACAACGCGCCCGTCCACAAGAGCCGCGTTGCGTTGGCTGCCCTGCATAAGGTGGGCTTCGATATTTTGAATCACCCACCCTACAGCCCAGACCTGGCCCCCAGCGATTATTACCTGTTTCCAAAAATGAAAAAAGAGCTGCGGGGTAAAAAATTTACCAACGATGATGAAGTCAAGGAGGCAGTTTCGGCGTATTTTGAAGACAAAGAGAAAACATTTTTTTATGAGGGTATAAACAAATTAATTGAAAGATCTGGCAAATGTATCCGTCTTGCAGGTGAATATATTGAAAAGGAAAAATAATTTGGTTTTTTTATTTCCACTCCTTATCCCCCATTCCACGAACATAAAAACGCTCCCTCGTATTATAACCCTATAAAACTTGCACCGCTTCTTGAGGGTTGTTTTGAAAAATTAGAAACAAAGTTTTTTGTTACTTTTAATAAAGAGTATTTACTGTGAGTTTTAAAACGCTACTACCAACAATAACGACGTTTTACATAAATTTTCAACCCCTATTTTGCATGTTAAGGGTTGTAATTTAAAAAAATCCTTTCTTAGTGCACACCGACGTCACTTAAGGAACATTTGTGAAAAATTTCATTCTTCTATACCCAGCGGTGTCAGCTGTGCCTTGATCGATCAGTCAGTGAATGAGTCTGTCAGTTTCTTCTTTCAGAAATATATAGAAGATTACAAATACCTTTCCCCCTAACTCCATGCTTAGGGTCCCTATGACAATGCCCTTACAATGGGCATAGGGCGCTGACGTAATATACTGCTCGCCCCAGTTCAGAAGGTGAATTCTTGCACAACCTTCAAGGATGGCTGATGTGGAATTACCTGGAAAAAAGAAATTGGCATGAGGTAAACCGGCTTCAACAATAATATATATATATATATATACTAGCTGATCCGGCAAACGTTGTATTGCAACAAAAAAAAAAATTAGGGATGGGTCACCCTTACCATTCAAAATTGTGAATCTAAACCATTCCCAGATCCCCTTGAACACACACAAAAAATTTCATCAAAATCGGTCCAGTCGTTTGAGAGAAGTTCAGTGACATACACACTCACAGAAGAATTTTATATATATATATATGAGACGGGCATGTTGGTCAAGGCGTTAGTGACCCTGACTGCTAAGCCGGAGATCGTGGGTTCGATTTCCACAGAGGAAGTAAGGACGACGTGTCTGGACGTAATTCATCAGTAATATGTAAGTATTTAGAAAGTACAGGCTCTGCCTAGTTTGGGATCAGACAACCAAGTGTTAAATGGTTGAAAAAAAGGTTAAAGCTTAAATATATGTAACATAGATATCTAGAAAAATTAAATAAATATATTCACGCATACAAACATTTTCACTGAGCGGGATTGAAACCCGCTACCCTTGAACTTGTAGTCAATTGTTAAGTCACAAAAGTCGATCCTGTTCAATAGATGGCGCTGTAGTTAATTTGAACAGCAGTGTTACCACTCACCATAAAATTTGGATCGCGCTAGAAGACTTCCTTCTATAACAAAACCTTCTTGTCTATTTGACACGTAGAACGCAGATACGGGAGGATGATGGGACACCTTTAAATTAAAAAAAAGTCTTACACCACTGTAGTGTCAAATAAAGCATTTTTTTATATCATCATCATCATCATCAGCCTATCGCAGTCCACTGCTGGACATAGGCCTCTCCCATTGCACGCCACTTAGATCGATTTTGGGCTTCTCGCATCCAGCTCCTGCCAGCCATCTTGCGCAAATCGTCACTCCACCTGGCCTGTGGGCGTCCTACACTACGTTGGCCGAGATGCGGTCTCCACTCAAGAACTCGTTTTCTCCAACGGTTGTCGGTTCTGCGGCTAATATGGCCAGCCCACTGCCACTTCAGCTTGCTGAGTAGGCTACGTCGGTGACCTTGGTTCTCTGGTTCTCTATATTTTAACAAAACCAAACCCTATACTAACCCGTCTGGCCAGCGTGGTACAGTAGGCCAAAACCTCCTTTCTTAGGAGAGGCCTATGTCCAGCAGTGGACTACTAAAGGCTGTAATTTTTTTAAAATTTTAATTCTATTTTTTGTTACTTTTTTAAGCATTTAATTTTTCTCTTCTACTTGTCTTCTGTAAGTGAAGGAGTACACCGACCTTAAACCCCTTTAGTTAATAATTGTTTTTACTTGTGTATATATTTCGTAAGAGATCCTAATTAATAAATAAATAAAACACGATTTTCTTACCAACACGGTGCGCTTATCATATTTGATTTGAAATACATTGTTTGAGGTTAATATACGTTTTTTGAGTGACTACTTCTTAAGGCGCGTTGGGCATTTTTAAACAACAAACAAAATAATTTATTTTATGGTTTAACAAAAAACACATTTTTTGAGATGGAGGAAAAACCATTGAACTTGCGACACTGTTACCGTTACCGACACCTCTGTATATTAGTATCTACATATATCGGCCCCGTTTACACGAGAGTTGAGTTTGGGTTGAAATACATTCATAATATAGCTATAAAATACATACATATGTTGTGTATATAATTACAACATAGATATATATTCATGTCGGAACTTCTCGAATCGAAATAAATACATACGTAATTGTTCAAGTTTTCACTTCTGTCGGCACTCCCGGTTTTTTTTAAGTAAGTTTTTTATGGCATAGATGAGAAGCAGACGGGTTACCTAATGGTAAGTGATTACCGCCACCCATATACACTTGAAATTTGCGTGCGTGTATGTCTATGATTTATTATACATTACACTCCAATCTTTTATTCATAGTTTACACAAAACCCACAACTCTATTTCTCTCTAACATCAGTCTATCTCCCTCTAACAGCTCACCTGTTCCGAAATATAATAAGTATACGACTGCGAGTCGTGCTTCCAACAGCATCTGAAACACTCTCCGAGTACTGGGTTGTAGGGTTTCTTCAGCCCCTTGGGTTTTCTATATAACCCAGAGAGATACCATCGAAGTACTGTCTTGAATCTTTGGTACGGGTCCTCTTGGAGTGAAGCTCTGTAATAGGAAAGTATCATATTAATTATAACTACAATTATAATATTCTACCACATTCACACAACGCCATCTAGTCCCAAAACTAAGCAGAACTTGTACTATGGGTACTAGACATCTGATATAAATACATATATATATTTTTTAAATACATACATATTATACATAGAAACGGATAGACCAAATCAAAAATAAATGTTCATGCACACAAATGTTTGACTTGAGCGGGAATCGAACCCGCGACCTTTGGAATAGCAGATCCTTACACAAACCACTACGCCATCCGATCATCTAATAATTATATACTACAAGATAATTTTGCTACGTTTTTGCAACACTTTTCATTAATGCTCAGCTCCTACTGAAGTGCTGGCCCACAATGCTGCAATTTAGTAACGCTCACAGAAGGTTTGGGTCATCAGGATCATAAGAGGATATCTAAAGGTCGGCTTAGAAGAGTAGAGTGACTACTGACGTGCCTATAAGAAGGGTGGAAGTCATCAACGGCTTGTTTTACAGCTTTCGCTCGAAATCAGTATGGCAACCAACACTTTTTCTTTTGAAATAAAGGTAAAGCAACCAGCAGACTCAACTTGCTCGTGATTTTTTTAATTTCAAATTGTCAATACTATATATAATGTGTATGATATACTTTTGTACCGTATTTATGTATTGTATTGTAATGGCGTCTCAGTAAGAGTGTACTTTTTTATTTTAAAATAAAAACAAGTTTTTTATGAAAGAGTTGTGATATTTTTATTGGATTGTAAAGAAGACATGTTCCGATTAAGTATGGAATAAAATATCCGGAAAATGGCCCCCACGGCTCTGATGACAGGCCATTACTCTTTTCATGAATTTTCCATGACTTTTACACAGAGATGTGACTGTATCTCACCGATGACGCGTTGGATCTCTGATTTGAGTTCAGGAATTGTTTCTGATTTATTCGCATAAACCCGAGATTTCACAAAACCCCAAAGAAAAAATCGCACGGCGTTAAACCGCACGATCTTGATGGCCAGTTGACATCAGAATTTCGTGAGATAATGTGTTCTGGAAATAGTTGCTGCTTTCCAAGGTCTGCTGGTTTGAGCTCATGAGTTAGCTGAATCTTGTACGCATGAAGGTCTTTTGTCAAAATTCGCTGCTTAGTGCTTCGTGAAATTTGAAGTTGTTGAGAACGATGCCGAATTGATGTTATCGGGTTTTCGACGACATTCTCGTTTACAGCAGCAATGTTTTCAAGAGACCGACCGGTAGGTTGACGCAAATGATTCTTAATATCCATAATCGACCCAGTTTCTTCAAATTTTTTGACCACTTTTCGAATGGTTGACACATTAGGTGCACTTTCTCGACTGAAAATCTGGCGAAGTTTGCGAGCGGTTTCAGCGTAACTTTCCCCATTTTTATAATGAGTAGTTTCGAAAAGCTCTCCATTTTTAGTAATCGGAATAAACATAGGTGACAGCTGTTAAATTTTAGAGTTGCAACTTGCAAGAAAAAAAAAAAGATTCCAAATTTAAAAAGAGCACTCTTACTGAGACACCTTTTACTTGTGTGTAATATGTATTTAGTATACGAGTATAGGTTTGTATATGTGTAAATATGTGATTTTGTATTCAGCTCAAATTGCTTTTAGTATAAAATTAACTGTAACCAAAATGTACTTTGTCTGCATCTCTCAAAAGGAATAAAATTCCCCCGTTTCTGAAACAGTTTCCATTAATGATCGGTTCCTATTGGTCAAATCCAAGTCCAATTCGAATCAGCAGTTCCTGAGATTAGCGCGATCAACCAAACAATCTCTGCAGCTTTATAATATTACTTATTATGATACTTACTGCCCCAATATGTCAGCATGGAAGTAATTGTCTGATAACTTGTCGAGGAAGGACCTGGGTTCTAATATGAAGGTTGGCAGCACCACTTTACTCAAGTCCATACCAGGACGCACCTGCTTCAGGAGGAACCATAGCAGTGATTTGTTCTCCTCGGCTACTTCTTCTACAAGCTCACCAGCCTGAAAAAGGTGAAGATGATGCTTGAGGAATGATATCACCTACACTAGGCCACGATGATCATGAAAATTGGTTTGGGGGAAACATCGTGTGTTTTTTTTTATTCAAGCGCGGTGCCACACTTTCTGTGACAATTCTCCCTCCCTTCTGGATTTACTAGGGAGGAGGGGGGAACTCAGGTCACCTCACTTTTTCGATGAAACGCAACAAAATAATTGTTTAACACCGGTTTCCTGTGAGACCAAGTATCACCCCGGTTGGTATGGCTTTCTCACGGCAAAACTGTCCTGTTCCCAATTTTATTTGGGTAAAATGGGCATAGGCATAGGGGTTTGACTGATTTGTGGCCGGCGCAGAAACCCATGGAAAAGTTATCGTTTTCAGACGAGGTCATTGAGGCTAAGGATCAGTCGGTTAATAATCCGTGTCTCTGATGGGTAACGGATCGGAGACTGCTATACGTCCTATGATAAGAGACACCATCAGGAGATGGACTTTAATTACTTATCCAAAATTTTCAATACACACCGAAAAAAGAGGTGGTACGCAGAAGTGTATAGGCTTTTTCTATACGTAGGTAAACGAGCAGACGGATCATCTGGAGGCAAGTCAACTAATAGACACTAATGACTCAAGAGTTAGTTAGGTCCCCTTCCCCATAAATAGAGAGAGATTACTTAACACCAGTTTTCTGTGAGGTCGTAATATCTCGTTGTATCTTCTCTAAGGAAACAGTCACAGGAAACAGAAACAGAAGTTAGTTTGAAGTTCGACGATGTGGCAGCGATGTACGCAAGCTTAGGGAAGTGTTCAACGCTAGTTTGGTGTCCGAACGTTTCCCTGAGTGCTTCCCGTTTGGAAGAGCGGGAAGCTGGTCCTGCTATGGAAGCCGGGACGGCTTGCCGATTCGGTCGCGGCTTACAGGCCCATCGTGTTGCTGGACGAGGCGAGTAAATTGAGGGTTCTCTCTGCCTGCATCGACTGGCAGCTCCGCTAGGTAGGCCCCGATCTGTCGGACGCCCAGTTCGGTTTTCGAGCGGGGGGTTCGACGATCGACTCCGTGTTGCGCCTCAGAACCGTGACCGAACAGGCGATGAGACGTGGTGACATCGCCAACGCATTCAATAGCCTGCCATTCAGCTGCATCAGGTTAGCACTCCACTATCACGGTGTGCCACAGTACCTGAGGCGGCTAGTGGCAGACTATTTAGAGGAGCGTACCGTCATGTACGAGTACCGAAATGGTGTTTTGTGTCGGCCCGTGTCGTGCGAAAGTGTGGAAAGTGTACGACAGGGTCTTACGATGTCACTTTCAACCCGGGCTGGGCGTAATCTGTTACGCTGAAGACACTCTATTCACAGCCTGAGGGGCAAACTTTCAAGAGGTGGCGCGCCTGGCCAACAGAGGAGTCTCTCTGGTAATCGGGTGCATTGAGGCACTAGGCTTACGGATGGCCCTGGATAAGAGGCCCTCTTATTCCATGGGTACCCGACCCCCCGGCGCCTCAATCGTGGTCAACCGGTCCTCGACGGGAGGTGGCTCATCGACGAGCACTTCCGACAGCTTGCTGTAAAGCTGGTCGGCGTTGCGTCTGCCCTTGGCCGACTTTTACCCAATTTCGTCGCGACAAGACGGCTGTACACGGGGTTGTCTAGTCAATGGCACTGTACGGTGCACCGGTGTGGGCGGCGGCTCTGACCGCCCAAAATAGGGCGCGCCTCTGGCACCCTCAGACGATATTGACGGTTAGAGCCATACGTGGTTACCGCACCGGTTCAACGGAGGTGGCATGCGCATTTGCCGGAACTCCCCCGTGGGATTTGGATGCGGAATAACAGCTGTTTCCGGATCCGGCCTATTATTACAGGCGTACAGAAGCACTCCCTGTGGTTTTAGTGGGTCCACCCCGCCACAAACCCCGGTCAGGTGACGTCACGAGGAACCCCCTCGTGACGTCACCTGACCGTACTCCACTCCACACGTAAAAAAAAGCGCTGTACGCAAGGCTATTTAATTAGAGAATAGCACCGCTGTGCTGAAGAATGCGGTTGAAAAAACTTAATTTAGAAAAAAAAAACGAAATTATATGCTTACTTTATTTTTTGTGTTGAGTTCAATGTAGATTGTTTTTATTGATTTGAATTAGAAACTAATAAAAGTACATAGTATCTAATACCAATAACATATTTTTTTGTATTGGCACTCGCCTGCTTGGAGGACCTTATTAACTTAATTTTGGAGGGACATAAAACCCATTCCTCCACAAGGCAAAACTGCGATTTTCATAATCGCAGTTTTGCCAGTGAAGGCTTTTCGTGAGAAAGACAACTCCCAACCGGAACTTATAGACTCTAGTTATTTCTACGAATTTCTGGATACTGCAAAATCCCATTAGACATAAAGTTACATAGACTGTTGATCCCAACTTCAACTCCTCCATCTATGCGTGTGCGCATCAAAATACATGATCAGACTTTAAGTAAATTTTTTTAACATCTAATGCCGCAGGATTTACTTTTATCAATAAAAAGAAGTAATAAAAACCATCAACTTACTTGGCCAATGTCCGTATTTGTATCTAGGATATAATTTCTCGCGAGCCGGGCAAGGATGTCCTGTTTCTTATCCGGTTGAGGCTCTGGCATCCCTGGACGGGAGGCGTCACTATCCGAGTCTGAAGCCGCACCGGCTAACTCTGGTGATATCAAGAAGGAGGCATGTGAGCTAGCTCTAATGATACCTGGGGAATACTAGCTAAAAATCGAATCTCACACGGCCGGTTGGAATATCTGAGGGCACAGGAGTGCCTCGTCAAACCGAGCATACACCTTTCTGGATTTTTAACACCCGACGCAAAGACCTTAAACTTTAACCTAGACTTTATCTGATCAAAACTACAACTGACTAAACATTTTTTGTTTGTAATCGTAAGATTTATTTTTAATCGTTGCAGGATTTTTTGAGAGTGGACATTTTAAGTTGTAAATTTATATTTGTGTTAGAAATGGCGTCTAACACGGAAATCCAAATCCAACGTCTTAGAGGTTACACTTTATCATCAGATGTTTACAAGACTAATATCTGGAAATTTAATTGAAAAATCATTCACAGGCCGAGTGGGAGTCGATCAAAAAATTGGCATCTAAGTCGATTTCGATTTAATCCTGTTACATCACTAGCGAAAACAGAATGCTTATAAAACCTTTATATCAATATACTAAGTTTAATCACATCTGGCCTTTACTTAACTAATATAATCTACAAGTGTAATATTATTCACTCAATAATACGCAAGATCTAGCAAGAAGAATTTAAACCTAGCGTTTGACGCAAGATAATAATGGTATAGCGACAATTGAAGGTTTTTATTGTTTGAAACAAATGACAACTTCGTATGTGTATTGCTGACGGATCGGTGGTGACATCCTGATGCTCACGTCCTGGATACGACTGCTTTCATAATTGTGTAATGTCGATCTCAAAAACCAATAGATTTCAATGCGTGTGTGCATCAAAATTACTTACAGTCTTTAAGTAACATCTTTTGCAATTGCATCTTTTTTTATGATAAAAGACGGCAAAGGAACAGACAGGTATCCTGTTGGTAAGTGATTACCACCGCCCATTGATAGTTACAACCCTTTCAGTCCCTCCACCAGAATTACGGAGAGGGTACCGGCTCCGGTAACCTCACTGCTAAAACTGCATGACATTGGTTACCTATTTCTAATTACTACTTTCCTTCACCTTGCATGTTTTGACACTAATTTAGTATGTTTACAAACCGATTGTATAAATATTATAGTAATTCGTTTATTAAACCAGACTACGATCAAGGACTGAAGTTTGTTTCGTGAAGATGTTTTCGAAAAACATCAATTTTGATACTGTAAATGTACATGAATGTGTATAGCTTTTTATTAAACGGTTATTTTTGTGTGGTGGGGCAAAAGAGCAGACACGATGGTGAGTGTCTCCCGCCGCCGACATGAGTCACAAGTAAATTGCTGGAGTTAGAAACCCTCCGCCTATTACTAAAGGGAGGAAAAGAGCTATGGAGTTGCGTAATTACGTTCAAGCCCACGCAAAGTTATTTAGGGGTAACCATATCTATTTATTTAAAACTTAATGCACATGTTGTACAAAGGCGGACTTAATGCCATCGGGGCTTTCTCTCCCAGTCAACCTTCAGGTCATGTAGAAATATAATGTGGGAGGTGACAAAAATAAAATATTAAATTTGACATAGTTAGACTTACGACTTACAACCATAAACAATATCTATCTCTTTCATAGACATTTCTAATGTCTATGGTTACAAGACCAAGAGATAATGATGATTCGGAAAAACTTTTGTACACTTATAAAGAAGTAAAAGTTACTGATAATATAAACAAACCTTCATTTGACACGAAAGTATCTTTACTGTCAGCCTTCTGGAGACACATCCTGTACCCATCACCGTTCTCCACCTTCGAGAAGTCAGACAGTATAGCAGAATCTACTGAAAACTTCCTGTTCAGAGTAAAGTAGGATCCTGGTTCGGATAGCTGTCTGGTCAGTTTTTTCTTGCGGAGAAGACTGAAGATACTAGACCGTCTTCTTTCGGATTTATCTTTCGTTTTCGCTTTTGGAAAAATGTCAGGATCGTGTTCCATGGCGGAACTGAACATATCTGGTAAATTATCCCTAGTTGGGTCAGTACAACGCTATTGTCATTTGTAAGTCACAAAGAACCTGTATATAGAATGCATGTGTTTTAAAGCGCCGTTTTCTCATCTGGTTTAAATACTCTTTGCTCACTTCTGCTAGTCGTCGTCGGAATAGGTTTACATTCTCTGTGTTCTTCTATTTTATTTCTTAATACTGCTTAGAGTCTTCCGTGAGTTCAAGAAAACACTTAATTTGAATTATATTCTCAGAATGTGTGCCAAAATGTCTTATGATAAAAAAACTAAACATCAACAAATTGTATATACTAAACGAGTATTTATTTAAATCGTAATTTTTATCTTTTACAGTTCTATCAATATCAACGCCGATATTAGTTTTTGCCAAACCCTGTGCAAGTGATGTATCTGTCAATGATTTATCTATATTTCTATTTTATAATATTCTTTGCAGCAAATGCACTTTCAGACGGGTACTGTCCATCATTGATTCGGTAAAAATAACGGTAGCACTCCGGGAGTGCCGACAGACGTGAAAACTTGAAAATTTAAAAATCGATTCAAAAAGTGTCGACGAATATATATCTATGTTGTACGTATATACACAATATATGTTTATATTATATATAGTTATATTATCAATGTATTTCAAACCAAACTCAACTCTCGTGTCAATGCCAATATATGTAGATACTCCAGAAGAAAACGCTGTTCCCGAGGAATAAAAAGAAATAACTTTTTTCTAGGAAGATTACATGTTATGGGTATGGTATTCTTAGGAACAGAGCAGCAAGAGAACCTATGAAAAAAAGCTTGTACTAGATACTTTAGCAGCGATTGCAATTGTACCTCTAAGCTCTCGCAGTCTTGACCTCCTCCGAACACTCCTAGCGAGGGTTCAAGGCCGACGTGTTGCGTTATCTAGACTTTCTGATCGCTCATTGGTGTTAATGTGTGTCCTTTTTATCATTGTATATAGAATAGACAAGCGCAGATTTAATAGTCTAAATATTTATACTCAAATTTATGCAATTTGTGTGAAAGAAACGCAAAAAATAACTAGAAAATTAATGAATCTTTTTATATATAATTCGTCTGTGCGTATGTGACGGAACTCCTCCTCCTTAAGGGTTAGACCGATTTCGATTAAAAATTTGTGTGTGTTCAAGTGGATTCGAGAATGGTTTAGGATTCACAATTCGGTTGACTACAAAATGTTTTTTTAATTTAAGACGCGTGTACAGGACAACATCTGTTGGGTCCGCCACTATGATATAAATTTTAACATTTTGCGAACGTGACTAGAAAAAGCTACACACGTCCCTTGTACTAGGCATATTGTGCTGTCAGTGAAGTACAAAAAGTCGTATAGTATAAATTATCTGTTATACTGAGAATAAAAAAATAATTTAAATTACGGAAACGTGTAACAGGAAGCTGGAGAAACGCGTACAGTTTGATTTGACCAATGAGGGCGCGTCTGGATATCCGACTACGGTTAGTCTCTCTCTCGTTTTTTTTTAATCATTTAATCTGACATTTTATTAACACGAATAAGCAGATTATAGTGATATATATCAGGATGGCATTGAATTTGACGAAGTATTACTTGATAACAACATATCTATTTAATACGCTTTAGAAAAAAATCTCACAAACTGGAATGTAAACTTGAAATTTTTAAAGTTTACATTATATGTAGAAGTGTAGAAAGCTAACATTATTTAACAATACGTTAACTTTAGCCTGTCATGGTACGCAAAGATAGTTGAACTTATACCGGCAATTAAAAGTACGATAATTATAATAATTTGATGAAATATGTAATTTATCTACAACTAGTTTTTGCTCGCAGCTTCGCCTGCGTGTATATCAGTTATCGCGGTTAAAAGTGTCTATCTCCTGACCAAATTGCATCTAAATCGGTTCAGCGATTATCGATTCCCTATAAAAACTTCCACCCCCTTTTAACTCCCTAAAATGATGATTTCTGGGATGAAAACTATCCTATGTCCATTCCCGGGACTCGAACAATCTCTATACCAAATTTCATTTAAATCAGTTCAGCTGTTTAAGCAATAAGAGGCAATAGGCAGACAGACAGACACACTTTCACATTTTTAAATATTAGTATGGATATATTACTATTATTTTATGTCAATAAAATGGCATTTCTAAATATACACGTTATCGCAACTCTGAAGTTAAATTTATGAGCAATTTACTATTAACAAGGTTTTCAATTGCATTTTTTTTTAGATGCTCTCGAATGTTAAGTGAATTTGGTAGGTACCTGACCTTTGAGTCATAAATTTTGGTTTTGTTTGTAGATAAATAGCTTTTATTTTTTAAACAAATAATAATAAATAGAGCAAAAAATATAAAATATTATATTTGTCTCTCGAGATTGTCGATTTGTGGAATGTAGATTCGGTGATCATTGTTCTGATACTCAGTCAGACTGATTCCTATACTATGATAATATTAGACGGATGATAGACACCCACACTTATATTATAATTTTGAAATTGAGTTTGTTTGTTACGCTTTCACGATTAAAGCGTGAATTCTTTCACCAATGGAAAACTATATTATCTGCGAGTAACATAGTCTACTTTTTACAGCGATACACACACGCACACATACACGCGGGCTAAGCTGCGGGCAAAGTACTTTTATATTTCAAAATATAAACATGTAAATTACATCGAGATACAGATCAAATCATCACACTAATATTTGTTTTTGGTGGGAATCGAACCTACACGACCTCTGGTTTAGCAATCAGAATTTCAGCCCAGTAATTAATGCTATAAAGATGCAGATTACTTGAAACAGCTATAGGGGTCCAGTATACATGTTGAAAAGTCACGATAATGAAATCGATCGAAATTCACTCTGCCTTACGATGTTTTAATAGATTTTATGCCCAAGTACAATTACTTTACTGTTCTTCTTTTTACCCGATTGCGCACAAAGAAGGGTTGTTTTTTCGAGTGTATGTATGCATGTTCTTTGCCACGCTCTGTAGGCTAAACGGCTTAATAGATTTTGGCGTTTGAGGTGTCGTCAGAATATTTTTAATTGTGAGTGACATTAGGTATACGAAAAGTATGAGAATTAAAATCCGATCGCTGGAGCGATTTATAAATTTAAGTATATATTTTTACGCCCACGGAATGAATAGGGGTGGTGACACTCTGTATTCTTAATCCGTCACCATACACCGCCAGAGACGTTCCACCATTCTGGCCACCATTCTGGCCAGTTTCACACATCTCACACACGGCTGTCTGATCCCAAACTAGGCAGAGCCTGTACTATGGTAACCAGACCGCTGATAAACATACATATATATTTCTAAATACATACATAATATAGATAAATTACACCCAGACAGAGAACAAGCGATCGTGCTCATCACACAATTATTTTTCCTGGGTGGGAATCGAACCCACGACCTCTGGTGTAGCAGTCAGGGTCACTAACCACTAGACCAACAGGGCAGACCAATAGTAGGCCAAAACGTCCTTTCTAAGGAGAGGCCAATATCTAGCAGTGGACTACTAAAGTTTATGATGATGATGTTCAAGCAGTTGGGAATTTCGTCTTTTCTTCAAAATTATCTCGGTATTTTCTTATTGTAACATAGCCAGTTGTTTAACTGAAGTATTTAATCATTACTTCCGTGTGTAAACAACACTTACAGATAAATATTCCGATGTGAGTACGCTATTCAATCTATTTTCAGCAGACATTTAAGACTACATTATTGAGATATATACCGTTATCTACACTGATAGTGTATGGTTTTAATGGTTGAGTGTTATTTTAAAACACATGTGTGTTGCTTGTTTGAATTGATATAGGAGATGAGAAATAGTAATGAGACTTCTTTTTAACAGACTTTAAAAAGGAGGATGTTATCAATTCGGATGTTTTTGGAACGAAGTTCCTTATCGCGCGTTGTGAAAGGGGGCTAGACGGAAAAAATTCTTACGAAAATTGGTCACGACACTTTTTATTTTGAATTGTCACTTGTCAGTTATTCAGCGCCATCTATCGAATAGTAAAATTAAAATTTATGTTCTTAGGTTGAGGAAAAAAATATTGTATTCGACATCATTTCTCAAGGAGATTTTACCAATGTATAAATTGTTTTAATTAGAAACCAACTGAAAAATATGTAGGTAATAGCCGCTTTCATAGATGGCGTTGTAATTAAAATCGTGTCTAATCAGTTTTACTCGATCGTAACAACTTCGTTCCTATCGGGTGTCCCACGACACCACACGGCTTTTTTTTTACGTATGTTCGGGCATAACGCCGTCATATATAGTCGAAATTAGTTTTGTAGTCCCATTTAAATTTCATATAGATCTGATGATGAGTTTCGGAGACAGACAACTGAACTCGTCAAAAAAGTTACCATTAGGTGACCCGTCTGTTCGTTTGTCTTCCTATACAATTGAAACTTCTTTATTTAACAACGCTAAAAGTCTTGACACCGAAATATAACCATAGTATCAGAGCAATTTTACTAATATGTATTTACACTTTCATTATTTAGTTAAAAGATAAACACGATGATAACATAACTAAACATGTTCTTAGAAGTATTGTATAAGTACTCGCGATAACACTTTTGACAATCTGTAAATATAAAAACGTTAAGTTGTTTTTTGTTCGCTTGAAAAACTCAAGTTGCGCCGATTGAGTTCAAATTTTGACACGATATACCAACCATTTTTTACCACCAAAGTTTTTTTTGTTAGTTGTCATCAGTGCAACCACTATGTAAAGCGTTTCAGAGTACGAGTACAGTTAATCGATTATAAATAATTTACTGTCCTTTTATTTTCATGAATTCTCATAAAAACAATGAATTAACTTATAAATAAATTCAATGATGTAGCAATACGATTCAATTCAGCAATACGGGTGGAATTGTGCATCACGAAGAGGAGGCAAAGAAAACAGACGGGTCA